CCTCTGTCACCCCAGTCCCTGATCCCATCTAAGCAGTAGGGCAACATTTTTTCCAGTTTGGTATTTATGTATAAGTCTTCATAGAAGTTCTTCTTATTGCCATTGACATCCATTGCCAGACTGGGCCACAGAATAGTAGATAGCTTCTTTATAATTACAAGACCTTTTTTTCCTGTCTGCATTTATCCTAAAAAAGAACTCAGGTCTTTTTTTTTTTTTTTTTTTTCCTCAGGCTTATATTGCCTGTACCTCTTTATCTCAAATCAGCTTTCTAGTCATCTTTGTCTGATTCATTTTGCAATGCCTGCACTTCTTGCATAGGTGTATATGCTCAGAAATAACATCCATCAAAAACTTATCTGCCCTCATAATTCAGCCTTCAGACAGATCTTGCACTTTTCTTTGACTTGGGTCATAGCACATACCTGCTTTGATACGGAGACCACCATGTTTAATAGAGGAGCTTAACTGTTTATTACAACAATCATAAATCAAAACTGGTTTTAAAGCTCACTGACTTAGGTGACAATTCCTCTAGCCCACAGTGCTTCTCCTTCTTGTGTGTCTATGATACCTGTTCAGAAAAGAACTCATTTTCTGAGCCCAGTAAATGAATCTTTAAGCCAGCTACTTATTTATTTAGCGTTGTTTTACCTTTCCTTTTTGATAGCCTTCTGAAAGAAACATCTAAACAATCTCCTGAAAGCCACAAGAATAATGACGTCATAGATAACAAGTAGTATAGAATGAAAAGATACCACTGGTGACAAATCCAAGAATTTAAAAATTTTAAGTTAAGCCTAAAAGAAAGGAAGTTATTAAAAAAAATGTTATAGTCCTTCTGGATTTTCTGCCTTTAAGGTCTGTGTCCTCAGGCTCCTTATACATTTTTATTTATATCTATAGTAATGTAATGGCTCATAATAATATTTCCTTTTCTAAAAAAAGCAATGATTTTCTTTAAGTGTATGAGTCAAGGGGCATAATAGCATCAATCAAGCAGCACTAGCTTTAAGTAGAAAGACCATGCTGGCCTCTCTAAATGCAAGCACTGTCAAGTTATTGTCTCAACACAGCACTTTAGATAACAGACTGTTGGGGGGCATATTTTTGATTTAATATAATAACATGAAAGTGTTCTGTGCTTGTAAAGTTAAACAACTTCTTTAGAAGTATGTCTATTATAGTAGTTTATTATGCATAGTTAAATCATTGTTTTCTCGTGCATGCTCATTCTAAACTGAAGAGGTGCTATGTAGCAATTCTATGCACTTACATTTAACATCCTTATGACAAAAATAAACAAAAAAAATTAATGACAATACTGTTCAGCTTAAAAAAAGAGCATTACAGGAATATGAAGACACTTGTTAAAAATGCTAAAAGAGGCAGACAAGGGAGTTACCTTGCCTCATGGTAAACCTTTAAGGACACCAAACTGCAACAGCATACCTAGTAAATAAGACATTAGGAAGGCATAAGAAAGCCAGTGTTGTTAATACTAGGATAAGGTCAGTTATTAAAACCAAGAAATCATCCTTCAAAAAGTTATTGTAATGTTTTAGGGCAGAACACAAATTCTTGTTTCAAATGCTAGCCGACTAAATGTAAAATACAGTAAAACGAGCTTTAAAGCAGTTGAGGAACAACTTGTGAAAAACAAAAACTAATAATCCCTTTTCATATACAACAAGAAATGCTGCCAGAGTCTATAAAACTGGTAGATGAATTAGCATATAAAAGTAGCTGGTAGAGGAGATAAAGCTGTAACCCAAAACTGAATGATGTTTTGTTTCTATGCTTACTGTAGAATTGCTCGAAGACATTCTCAGACTGATATTTCTTTGTGGACAGATAAATTCAGCTTGACAAAAATAACCACTCAAACTCTTACTTACTTTGAGGTTGAAATAGCAGAACTAGTGACTGTGGTGTGCTTCTCAATTAACACCCTCTTTGTACCAGAGGAATAATTAATATTTTGCTAATTTTTAACAGACATTCTAAGGAAAATAAAAGAATTTCATATTCAGAGAATACAGATTACAGAATCCAGAACATAGACTGGCAGAATCTAGAATCAAAGAATACAGCTTCAGCTCTGACAACTGTAGTGGGTACATTAGTAGAAGCTATAATAAAGAATAATATTAATGGATGCATGTATATATAATAGCTTTGGAGGAAGAATCAAGCAGCTTTTTTGAAAGACGGACATTCCTCTTATATTTTGGAAGTCTTTTGAAGCAGTTAACAGAACTTCAGGTAAAGTTTACTTAGATTTTCAATCAGTTTTTAGCATAACCTTCAACAAAGGCCCCTACTTTATGCAGCCATAGAGTAGAAAGAAAGCACTTTTTCACACATCCAGAAGTAAACTTCCAGAAATCATTGCCAGGAAGTTGGGGAGGCAGACAGGATTATACAAATTGAGGGGGTACAGGCCTGTAAACAGATGCCAGAGGAAATACTCCTCTTACAAATGTCCTCTGACATGACAAATGTGGATGTTGGAGGAAACTACAGAGAGGGTTAGATCACAGAAAACAGCCAGGTTCACATGCTGTCCCTAAATAGCAGCTCCTGCTGTCACTGTTCAGTATAGTGTGCTGGGCCAAATGGACCAACAGGGCATTTCTTATGTTCTTATCTGGACATGGGGACAAATACATGCGCTCAAATCTTAGCCCTCTCCCTGCTCTAAAGAAAGGTGCAGCAAAAAACGCCTAATGGATCCACCTAGTCTGGAAATCAACATGCACAAGCACCAGGAACAGGCTTTACTGAGCTGACAGTTCATCACACTGGTAAATTATCAACCCTCATCAACAACACTATCACATTTACCTGTTCCTTTTCTCATTCTTTGAATTTTGAAGGGAACAGAGGACATGAGAAGTTTGCACTAAATATGTTGTGCAAAAGCCACAGAGAGCTTCAAGTACTTTGTTACCTTACACTGGTGTTCACTGAATCAACTGAGTCTGAAAACATCACTGGCCTGCTAATTTCTTCTCTCTTGGGAGTGGTAGGACCTTAATAGTTGGGATCTTTTTCAACAAAGATATACACAGTCCTGGAGTCTTGGCATACACTCCTGCTTACACATTTCCTGTAACAGTCTCTAGTGTTTCACTTTTTATACCAAGCAAGCCTCATCTTGATGAGGATGGGAAAACTATGTATTAGTCAGTGGCATAAGCCTTATTTCATATGCATATGTGAAAGAGTTACAATGTTTGTGGGTAATGCTGCAGCTGACAATGTAGCTGTGTGCAAAACCAGTTGTCTGAAGCCCTGGAAGCATTTGGTTCCTTCTGTTATATTAGGCCAATATGTACGTAGATGGAAAGTACTATTTGCTGACTAGTTACTTTCACAATCGATATATGCATGGTTAGCATGGTCTTTAGGACCAGTGGTTGTCCCCTGTATGGCAGTTTCAGGCATTGGCACCAGCTTCCACTGGATCATTGTGTCGATAGCAAGCCAGATGTGCTCACACTCAGCATAGATGCAAATATACATCTCAGATACACACCAGCCACATCCAGGACACACTCTTTACTCTTCACTCCCTCTGCAATGGCCTGAGAGAGGCTACTAGGGCAGAAAAAGAGGTCTGCTCATGGATGAATTCTGGGAGTCTATGGAGAGGAGAATAAATCCCCTAGAGAGCTCAGGAAGATTCAGGGCCTGTCTCCTGGAGACCACCATAAGCAACCTTATGAGACTGAGCAGAAGCCCCAACTCTCACCCTACATTCAGACCATGCTGCAGTTTGCAGAGGAAAGGCCAGGTCATGCACTGGAAGCCAGGGAAGACTTATTTCTTTGCTAATTATTCACTAATGCTTCAGCTCACAGTGAGGTAAATATCATCACATTCCTGTTCTGTGCCTCACCTGCCTTCAGCTCAGATGGGGATAATGCCTCTTGAGCACTACCACAAATCAAAGACACAGCAGCAGGGTCTAGCAGCCATTGCCTGGGCTGTTGGTGGCTGCTGCCGGTGTGGAGGTCCTGGCTCACCCCTGAAGTGTATCGTAACCGTATGGCATGCAAGCGTGCCTGCTGCATTAGAGACTAGTAGGGGAGTAAACAAAGCAGTCCTGCCGGGTAGGAACGCAGGTAGGCAGTATGAATTGTCAGCCATACTTTATTACTGTGCTCAAAGGCCAATGGTCACTCCCTGGAGTGGATCCCAGACGCAATAAATACAGACATAGCTGTATTTAAAAAAACAACCCACTGTGTTTACCTTGGGCTTGAGTGCTCACCTACAGGTTATTTGCAGCCAAATATTCCAGTGACTTTAGGGTTATTGCAAGTTCTGCCCAAGTTTCAGAGGCCCTGGCGGTGTCTCCTGTGATCACTCACAGCACTCTTTACCCCTTTTCTCCCTTCAAGGCCAGTCAGTGTAGCAGGCTGTAATTGCACATTTTTACTGCACACAAGGACAATAAATGTATTTGTGAATATGGAGATGCTTGGCTTAAACGAACAAGAAAGTCAAGAGGCATAGAGATTTCTGCCTTGTAATAAGCAACTGTTTTAAGTAGCTCACACACTCCTTTTCCCAGGGGACCTGTCAGCTGCCCTGTCTTCTCATTAACAGAACAGACACACAAGCTTTGCCAGGGCAACAGCTTTCACTTCTGCTCTCCAGGTTTATTTAGCTGTAGCGTTTGTAAACGCCAGTGTGTATTTTGCAAAGGTTTACCTTTGAAAAACGTTTACAAACAGCAGTGTCAGCGAGCAACCGCCCCCCTCCACCCACACGTCTCGGCCTCTTCAGGTCCAACGGCTGCCTCGCGGGGCGGGGCCCGGCCCGCCGTTACCGCTCCCGCGGGCGCGCGCGCCCGGGCCAGGCTGGCGGTGCTAACGCAAAGCCACTTGGGAGTTGGAGTCCTCTGCGCGCTCTTTCCCACTGCGGGCCCGGAACTCGCGGACTACCTGTCCCTCAGAGCCTTGCGGGGGGCGGGGCCCGGCGGCCGGAAGCCGGCACCGGCAGCTGGTGTCAGGGCGGCTAGTTCAAGTTGCCATAGCGGCGAGGTGCGCGGGGAGGTGCGGTGAGAGCTGGGGGCGCGGGAGGCGGCTGCGCGGGGCTGGCTGGGGGTGGGCGGGCGCGGAGCTGGGTGGTACCGGGCGAGGGGCTCTTCGGACAGCCGGGGGCTGCAGCGGCAACCGGGGGCGGAGACCCGGCCCAGTTCGGGGTTGGTCCGCAGACCCCTGGGCTTTCAGGGTCCTGTCCGGAGCAAAAGATCCAGGAGGCCCGAAGGCTCTCAGAAATGAGGTCGGGGGTTAGTAAACTTCGGTAAGTGCACGGCGGCAGGAGGATTGGCAGAGGGCATTATCTGAGCTTACTTGTGAGCGGTATAAAGGGACTTCCTCCGTGTTATGGTGCTAAAGAGTGCTGGGAACATGGTATCACAAGCTGACAGTAAAAATGTACTACTGGTGCCTGAAAGCATGATGGGGAAACACCACCATGTTGGATCACCTTCCTGGCTTTTTGAAAGTTTCTTCTGCCTCCACTAGAAGCACTGAAGGAAAGGGCCTTTCAGGTGTCATGTTGTCCATTTCTGGAATGGCTATAGAATTTTAAAATCATGTTCAGCCTTAACTGTAAGGTTTCAAGTGTGCCTTTAACACTAAGCTAGTTATCTAGTGATAGATCAGTCTGCACAGAGCTAAGCAAATATACTTGAGAAGTAATCAGCTTGTGCATACTGAGTTCATCTTTTGCTTACTTGAGGTGGAGGACTTGATGTTAAGACGGTCAGCTGAGCTTCGTGTTTGCTTTACTGTGCAGATCTCTTAACAGGAGAGTCCTCAGTGAAACCGAAATGCCTTCTTTTCTACGGGGAAGGAAAATACTGAGTACTGATGTTTTTCCTTAGTGTGATAAAGATTATAATCTGTTTGGGTAGATTCAAAACCAGTAGAAGACAACTGATTCTCACTGTCAAGTAGGTTGTAGGATCATGTGCTGAAATAAATCTAGGTTTTTGGAAAAAGTGATAATAGGCTTTTTTTTTGGTTTAAATTTATAGACAAATGTGCATACATATTTTTACAATTTTCTACTTCTTTATGATTTTTTTAATCTAAAATGAAACTTCTGTAATTTGTTTAAAAATGAGGATGTTGCTTTATATGAAAAAACCCCTTCAACTTAAAAGTACTTACACTTCCTCTTAGGTTGCTCATGAGAACAGAGGAATGCTACTTTATTATAAATAGAAAGTTTCCTTCAGACAAAATGTCCTCCTATGTCTAGCATTTTCTTTTATGTTTACCTTGTTTACTATCTTTTCTTCACGGCTTTGGCCAGTAAGTATCTTAACGAGCTTATTTTTGGACAGCTGAAAACAAACCCATGAATCTTTTCTGCTGTAAATCTTAATTTCCCTTTTATTTTATCCACTGTCATAGCTTGTCAGTAGTTGAGGCTTTTATGGTTGAGATACTTCTCAGAACAATGTTTTCAGCAGAAAAGTCAACTGCTGTTTTTCATTAATTTCTATTTGTCTGTCTCTCTCTTCTGACATTACAAGTTGGTATATTTATCTCACTAGTGATACGTGTGGGGCCAAGTTCAGAGACCTACTCTCAAAAGAGTGTGAGAAATTTTAAAGAATTTAGTTCCCATCAGCTGAGATGCAGTAGCTAACCTTTGGAATGCTGCTGGTTTATGCCATTTCATCTGGAAATTAATTACCACTTATGCCATTTCATCTGGAAATTAATTAACACTTTATATCATTTGAATGTTCTTACACGTCTCATTGTTCTTAATCTCTGTCTAGTCTGGTATCCTCAAAAAGCCCTCTTTTGCTAATATGAAACTGATAATGTTGTAGGTGCTGTTATTTTTAGGCTCTGAGCTCCTAGACAGAAATGTGACAGGGTGGAATTAAGAGTTAAGCCTAATCTTTCACTTGGAGCTGTTTGACTTGCAGAAAAGCTATATGTCTTGCATAATGTAAGGTTAGTTTTCTAGCTCTCATGGGATACTTCTGTGCAATATTCTACGGAGTAGATCTAACATACACTTTTCTGCCCAGTTTGGGAGGAAAAGGCAATTTGCTTCCTGTAAAACTCAATGGAGTTCTGAAGAATCTAAGTTGCCAAAACAACTTTTACTATGACTCTGTAGTTGACATAAGATATGACAGATACAGACCATCAACCATTTGTTATGATCGTTAAATGTAATTGTGACTGTAAGAATGATAAGTCAGGCAAAATATGTGGGTCCATGAGTAGTTGAAGACTAGATTCCTGTGGATTAACATCTCGGGGCTGAGTTTCTGATCCCTAATAGGGTTGATCTTGTGCTTATTTCTTGGTGTGGCTATTAATACGGTCTCCACTTTACTTGGTGTCTTAAAGGTGTTTTCGCAAAATGCTTTGAAACTGAAAACCTTTGTTAAACTTGGAGGAAATTGATCACTGAATCGGTTATGTATTGAGTTTTGAGTGATAGTGCTGCTTGTCGTTCTTGGTAAAGTCAGAGAGATGCTCTAGCACAGAGAACTAACACTGCAGTTATAGAAGGAACTCAATTACTTTAGAGCAGGCGATGCCAAACTTGTTTGAGAGAAGTCTCATTTCATGCTTACCGGTGATACCTGTGATCTGTGTGCTGGAATATGGATCTTGCTGATGTCTGCGTGAGGTTATAGTAAAGATCGAGGTGGGAAAATGCAGCTTGATATAGTAATGTGTAGGACAGAGTAAGTTGTTTGAGTTTTTTGTACTGAATCATGGTAAAAATTAATATTATTCCATATTATTATTTCTACAGGTATTTTATGTCTTTTATTTTTCTCTGTCTTCAAAAATATCCCAACTTTCCTGTTTCCCAGTGCTTGGTGTTTATTCTTTCTCAGTTTCATTTAGACTTAACTTCAGCTGACTAGAGTGAGAGGCACTGAAATAGTGAATACTGTTACTGGCAGTAAAAATTTGCTTTAGTGAGATAAGGGGAGGGAAGACGAGATAAATTAATTACTGCAGAAAATGTAAGGAATATTGATGTACTTGAGCACAGATCGAGTATGTTGGTTTACTATTATGTTTGAAAGGTTTCTGTCCAAATCTTGGGGATGCAAATTTACAGCCATTTAAAAATTAAATATAAGGCTCTGGAAAAACATCAACTTTCCTCTCTATAAAATACAATATAAGAATTGAATCTCATCCATGGTTTCTTTGGGAAACTTCAGCTCTAATAGCTAGAAGAATGATACCTTTACTGTGGCTTTTTTTTTTTTTTTCTTAACTACAGGACCAAAGGGAGTTCAAGAGTTTGCCAGTCTATTTCTTCTTCCCCAAAGCAGGCTCAGACTGTGTCTCCCAACAGATGCTGTTAACACAGATTTTTATGTTGGTGATTCCATGACTTTTAAGCAAACTGCTGCAGTGTGTAATAGTTTAAGAAAAAATTTCCTTCTAACCTACCTTGTGAAGGTTATAATTTTAATCAGTTACTATGTGACTTTACTATATTGGTCATAGCTGCCTGTAGCTTTGAATAATGTATTCTCCCATGTCTGATAAGTGTTATCCTATTTTTCCATTTTCTACCTTGCCATTTTTAAGATTCAGTAATCCCCATTTTTTTCCTCTCAAGCTGTAGTTCTGCTTAAAGTAATTTTTGAATTCTAGTCGAGTGAATTGCCCCAGCAACAATGTAGTCATCTAGGTTATGCCGAATTAACATTGGGTAACAAATAATATTTCAAAGTTTACGATATTGCCCTTATTCTTACGTTTTGTGTGGTGTTAGCTTTTTCTTTCTAGAACATGACTGATGCATATATGCATATTCAACCTGAAATACTAAACCTTTTGAATAACCTTTTTTTTTTTTCTTCTTTCTGCTACCAACTTCTGTTTTCCTTGTGGTATTTGTCCTGCTGGACAAATAGTGTCAGCTGCAAACTTAATAAACATATTATATTACATTATTAGGTCATTTATTGAAAATATACAGTGGATTCACTCTAGGTTCTCACTTTATAACTCCCTCTAATTTGACACTTAATTTCTGTTAACTGCTCTGAGTTCTGATCCTCAGTTTTGCTTCCATTTTAGGAAAGCTTATATTAGTTCATGTTCCTTTAGCGTACTTTTGTGAATGTCATCTGTGCACAAGGTTAAAAAAAAAGTGACATCTACTGCTTCTTCTCTACCCTGTTTAACAAATTTAATTACTCATTGCCAGATTGATTGATTTGATATCAATGGATACTCTTTTTTTTTTTTTTTTTGAGAACAGGTCTTTTTATTTGGAAACTTCAAATAATCTATTTTGATTTTTTTTCCCACATATTTAAATTAAATTGATTGGTCTATAATGTCTTAGCCACACCTTTTTTTCCTTTCTCTTCTTTTAAAGACACTGCATTTACCTTCTTCCATAACATCTTCAATTCTCCTTGACTCATTAAGATACTGGTTCTTAGACTTGCTTTGGACAGTTAGACAGTTACTTGGGATTATTTGTTTTAGCTGACCCTGAACAATCTGAATATAGCTTAGTAACTGTCATGAGGCAAAGGGGAATGATTCTGCAGACCAGAACAACTGATAAATCCTTGATGTCCCTGCTGGTTTTGGGGGAAAATTTGCTTTGGGCTATGGTCTTATCCTGGGTACTGAACATAGTGTGAGTGCATCTTTTGATTAGTTCTCTCCTAATGGGCTCTGCCTCTTGCATCTTCATGGCGTGAACAAACAGAACTGAGGAGCAGCTGTAAGATCTGCTTCAAAAGTACATCCTGCTGACCTGAACCAGGAAGGCCAATGTAAATATAGTCTGAGTCTATAAAGTTGCTTTGGGAATATTGTGCAAGTAAGAGACTGTTCATTTACAATCGGGATTTATCATTCTTTACTTTTTTTGGTCTTCCTGTCTAGGTTTCAAGATACTAATGGCAGATTCATCCAGTGATTCAGACAACTTTCTTAGGGGTCAAATAGGAAGGCGGCCACCTTTGAGAGCATTCCATAACAGAGCTCGGAACTATGGTGCTGAAGAAGTTACAGAGAAGATCCATACTTTAGCAAGCACTTTACAGGTTGTTTACAAAATACAGTTTTAAAGTATTTATCAAGTCTGTATTCCTGTAACATAGGATCAAATTTTAATTTCTGAAGTTGTGGAAAATACTGTCTTCATGGGAAACACTGCTTTCTGTGCAAACCAAAAAGGTTTTGGGGTATTGATCGTACTGCCTTTGAGCTGAAAGTATGTGACTTGTTATGCTTTTATACAGCCATTACTTCAGACAGTAATATAATGTTTTTAGAAACAATGATGTGTTTGGTAATACTGTTTATAAAGTTAGCAAACTGAATAATGCCAGATAAACGTTGTCAGTTTCTCACAAGAGTCATTAGAAAGTTCCAGCTCCATCTTTGTTGTCTCATAGTCTGTAAAATTTCCCAATTCCTGGTAAAGTAAATATGTAGGCAGTCAATTCTGTCATGATATAATTTACAATTCAAATATTTCCTAGGGGTGGAACAGCACAGTAAGAAGCAGTACTTGTAAACCTGTAAGAGTTCCATACCTGAGCAAGAAAAAGTGTTCATCTGATTCCTGCTTACTCAGTGGAGGCAGCAGAGGAGATCTCTGAATCTCTTTTGCAAGTGAGAGGAGACATTAAGTTATCTTGAGACCATTTGTTGCTTGAGAAGTCATTCCCATTCTTCTCTAGCTGACAGTTCTGAATACCTAGAGTGGGTGGGCTTGTGTATTATCACTTGTGTTGAAGTATTGTTTGGCTGGCAATATTTTTTTTTCTTTTTAATATGTAAGAAGAGAAAAGTCTATATAAAATGCTGAATTTAAACTTCAGAATTCCTTAACTGGAAAATAATCAAGCTAGAAAAAAGTTAATAATGTTACCTGACGGTTTTTCAAAAGGGACTCTTCGGTATTGTCCTGTTTCTAACCTCTTTCTAGCTGTTTTGAAATTCTGATTTTCAGCTGATTGCTTTTTGTGGACTGCTTTTCAGCAGGTCTGCTGTCTGATCCAGCTCCTCATCTGGTCAGAGTGTGCTCATGCAGACACCTTACCTAATATGCTGATCTTCAAAAAATTTATTATTTCTCAGTTACCTGCCTGTTAAAAAGAATTAAGTTAACATCACTGGATCTTTGGATTAACAATGTTTTTCCACAGTGGCTGAAATTCATAAAACTCTGTAAATAAGGCTGAGGCCTTACTGTTTTACTGTAAATGATAGTGTGTTTGGGTTTTTTTGTTTGTTTGTGGTTGGTTTGTTTGTTTGTGTGTTTTTTGTTTGTTTGTTTGTTTTTTTTTTTTTTTTTTTTTTTTTTTTGCCTTTAGCCATGCTGTACTATTTAAGATTCTGGTTACTTGAACAGGATTTTGAATGCTTTGACCCTTTAAAAAGCACTTGAGTTATCAGTGTACTCTTACAAACTGAGAATGATAAAGACAACAGTGATATTTGAGTATAGGAGGTTTCTGTTTTGACTTTTCTTCCTCAAACTTTTTTTTAAGGATACCAACAGAAATCTAAGACATGTTGACCATTTGCTAGGACAATACAGAGAATACAACAAGGAACAAACAGAAGCAATAGCAACTGTGAGCAACTTTTCAATTTATCTTAACTTCTTAAATCTTTTCTGCTGATAGCATTCATAGCTGAAATCCTGGTAGCAATGGACAGAATATATCAAGAGTTAAGTAGATGTAAAGAGAAACTTTTCATATTTGCACAATCTAAATCAAGCTATAGTAATATGTTATATAATGAAACTCTGGCAGGTTGTGTAGCTTCATTACTTTTCTGGTTTATAAGCACAAAATAGATTGTTATGATACAATGCCAAGTACAAGGTGCGTAGCTGAAATAGAGTATTGGGGAACATGTTTCTTTTGTAGAAATAGGTGATAAGTTAAAAGCTGAATTACATTAGGGAATGAGACTGTAATCATACTGGTGTAGGTTTTATTCCTGTCATTCTACAACAGCTTCTAAATCTGTTGACCAACTTTCTCTAAATTGCAGAAGGGGTGAAATTCTCATAAATATAAAACTTCTACAAGTTTGAAAACAGGTGTCTAGGCAGAGAAAGTTAAACAAATTAGTGCTGGTAGGGCAAGAGATGTTTATAACTTGGTTACAAGCAAACTGTGGTCAGTGCTGCCTTGAAACATATATTTGGAATGTAGGAATATTTTTGCATGTGAGGGTAGAGAGAAAGAGAAAAAGCAAATATGTAGAAAAGAAGGCTAGTTTTCTTCAGGTAGCTTACTTTCTACATCAGTATGGATAAGCTCTGCATGGAAGTAATTGGGGACATTATATGCCTCATTTTTTTTCTAATGTTTGAATGCTGTTTGTGCCTTTTTAAGCTCTACTTAGGTATTGAATTTGTGGAACCATTTAAGGTTTTCAGTTTTTAGCAAATACTGATACTAAATGCAGTTCAACATCATTAGTCTGGAGAGATTTTCTATTAGGAAACATCAAGGTGAGACGGACATCACTCAAATTTAGTTTTGACTTAGTGGCCATTCTTCTTAGCCATGCTAGGTGTTTTTTGATTATGGCTCATGTGGAGGAGAAATCTAGAGACTAACTGTCTCCTGCTTGCACTTTAAGTAGTAAAGTCAGTCTCATTAGAAAGATAGTATGTTTCTCTGAGTACCTGTTTCCTTTCTGAAGTAGAAGCTTCCACTTGCATAGAATACATGTTTTATGTATTTGGTATGTGGGAAGAAGCAGCTGGGATCAGGAAGTAGCGAATCTGTTCCCCTATGATAAAGATTTAAGAAAAACTTGAATAAATATCTCATTTGGATAGTGATGTGTTGGTTGTTTTTTGTTTGTTTTTTTTTTTTTTTTTTAATAATGATAGTCAGTCAAGTGTTTCTATCATTATACAAGATTGTTTAAGAATATTTTGCTCCAAAAGGGTTATGTATTTAGGTTCTGTCAGTTATGCTGAATATTGTAATGTCCAACTATTGAATTCCTTGTGAATTTTTTTTTTTTTCCTTAAAAGGAGACTTTCTTCAGACCATTGTATAGCATATTTGAATTTATGAGTTGGTGACTGCTGGGCTGCTGAGCAGCTGTTTTCCATTCTAATTTATAAATTAGTCTCATTATCCCACTTTGAGGTGTACCATGTCTGCCTGTGAATCAATGCAAAACTTGCTACGTAACTTAGAGGGTGAGGAAGGTTTGCTGCTCAGAACTTTTTAGTTGTTATTAGTGGTGGGAACATTGTACTCTCCATATGTACTCAGTTCCAGAGCAGTGTTATTCTCCTGCTGACTTTACTGTTCATCTGTGATTTCATTAAGGCCCTGGAGAACAAGAATAGTAGAGAAAAGGTTCCATTCTGCTCTTTAGGGTGGGCAGGAGGGAGAGAGAGGGAGGCAAGAATGTTTTGGGGTGGGTTTTTTTGCTCATGTGAGGCTTTGGAGAGTTTTAAAAGTAATTAGCCTTTGAGAGAGATCTGTTTGGTTTTAAATTTTATTTTTTTTTCTGATGGCACTGATGTTTGTTTCTTCAAATAAATTAAAAAACCAAACAAACGAAAAACAGAAGAAAGAAGAAATGGGAAAGCACCAAAACATTAGGCACTGTTTTGATGAGATTTAAACAGTTTACAGATGAGATGTTGAGGAATGGAACTCAGATTGGTGAATATTAAAGCTATTCTATTCAAATTTGTGGGTTTTAGTATCTCTCTTCTACTGTCACTAGTGTCTCAATTCTTTTAATAATTGTTTTTAAGAGAACACAAATACCTTAAAGTATAACAATGTTGATAATGTGAATTATAACTCAAAATTTTCAAACAATTTTTTGGACATTGATCTGTTCTAAAGAAACTGAAGAGTAAGGTGGTTAATTCTGGACACTGTCATAGCTCTTTGTTTTAAGAAAAAAAAAATTAAAAATCCAGATGTCTGGTTTCATGTAGAAAGGATGAAAACGTGTGCTGTGAAGCAAAAACACGCAAACTGAGCATCTGTAGCTTTGTTCAGAGTTTTTGTTGCCGTATTAAAGATGCAAGATAAGTCTTTGACAGAATCAAGTTAGATTTGAAAATTGAATTACTACCATTCTTTCTTTGATCCTCTGGCATTTTTATGATTTTTTTTTTTTTGTCTTATTTTTTTGAATACAAAAGTGATCTTTTGTTACATACGTGCATAGTTGTGTCTTTTTTCCATCAAGTAGCCTCTATCTTTTTGAGAAAGCATTAGAAAATCCATGAGGTTTTTGGTTTGAGAGTTTCTTAGTGATAAGGAAGTTGTTTTAATAATACCATATAATGAAAACATACTTTAAAAAGAACCTAAACAAGCATTGAGAGATTCAGAAAAGATTTAAAGTAGTGTTTTGTGCTTTGGGAAGAAAGTGCCACCCAGAGAGAGATCCAGCACCTTGTACATAACTGCAAGAATTAGGCAGCAATTTAACCACTGTGTACAGCCTTCCGTTAGGGAAAGGTAAACCTTTAGAAACTGATGTTTTGTGGATTGTCAGATAAAGGTGTGAGAGAAGCAATTGTCTAAGAACCAAAGTTAGCAGATGCTGTCTTAGAAAATCAGACGCAAGTTTGAAAAATTAGGCATTTATGTAGGAATATAGCTAGTTCTGACCTTTTAAGTTAGGAATGGCTGTCTTTTTCTGGAAGTGTAGATGCTAAAAGTGGGGCTTGATGTAAAGCTGCTTATTGAAATTTGGTAGACATATGTCAAATTGTTTGCAGGTAAGGCTGGTAGAAAAATTCCAATTAAAAAAAAAAATCTTTGAAGTTTGTTTTCTGGATTTTGCAGAGCTGTTATTGAGCACTGCTGACAAATATGTCTCTTACCAAAATAAGACCTACTTTTCTTTTGAGTTTTCCTGGTGTGTTGTACCACTGTTTTAAGAAACTTGATATCTGAAGCTGCCAATGTTGGAAGCATGTTTTACTGTAGTTATAGAAATATGACATACAAGATGTTGAGGAAAAGCTGTTATTAATACATAGCTATACTTGGCTTAAAAATAGTTTTGATTCACTTAATGACTTTTTAAAAAACATTTTACATACACGTGGTTTTTTTAATCAGTCTGTGTTCATATTTCAGTAAACTGTAATTTCTCTGCAGTTAAAAGAAACACTGGAACAATCTATAGGTCAATTAAGGAGCCAACCATTAACCCGAAACTCTGGAATGAGAAGTGCATCTCTCTCAAGTTTATACCCTAGTGATCTGGATGGAGAAGGAGTGTCAGGTAAAATACTGAAGGTGCTCGAATACACTTAAATTATGTGATAAAGTTGTTGTACCGAAAAAGGAAATTAAGAAGAAAAGTGTGGAAAGATAATGATGTGAAAAGTCATCATTGATTACTTCAAAGAAATTCAGTTTAGAAATTTGGGAAACCTGCATTAAGTTATGCAGTTGTTTATTTGGTAAATTTTTACAGCTTTCTCTTATGTGGTCTTTTCTGCTGATATCCTGAGAGATGTAAATGAAACACGTATTCTTTCAGTAGAGAAAATTCCTTGTCCACTGCATCAGTTGTAGATACATACAAGTTAAAGCTAAATGCAAAAGATATTGCAGCTTCTGAAGCTTGCTTCACAGCAAAAAGGAAAGTAAAGTTTTAAATGTGGGTGAAATTATGTAAGGCTCAGTGGAAAAGGGAAAACTGAACCAATGTATAATCTAAAGAAAAGTAGTTTTTTCTTGTATATCTCTCTGAAAATTCATTATATTTTAGGAAAAGGTGCATCTGATAGCAGTATTCCTTCAAGAAGTAGCATTTAATGTGTTTTAGTAGAAAGCTCTAAAACTTTAGTTTTTCTAATGTAAAAGCTGTGAAGTACTGTAGTTTGAAGCTATAATATATCCAGGTGAAGGAAAAACTGTTGCTTGGGCAAATAAAATTTGAGGAGGAAAACTACCTGTTCTTTGGAGGAACAAAAGAAAACCTCTTACCAATTACATACATGTATTCCAGAAATATTTAAATTGAAGAAGAATCCTAGGAAGAGCTAAAACCGAGAAGTATGCCTGTGTATTTTATGTAACTTTAGTAGTTGTTTTGTCTGTAATGTGGCCTATAAGGATATTGACAAGATGAAACACATGTTTTTTCTGAAGCAAAATTAAAAATTTCCCATACAAAGTTCTGTCTTCCTATTTATTTATTTTTTTATCTCTTGTCTCATAAAGGGAACCACCACTTCCTGCCTACTTCTCCTCTCAGGGATTATGGAGACTCACAGGGCAATAAACATCGAAGGTCTAGATCTGCAAGTGTTCGATTTGTCAATGATGCAGATAATTTGGACCAGGTACAGAGCATTAATTGGGAGTTGCTTCCCCAAATAGGCAATATGTGGTCACCAGGCTCTTCACTTTTACATCAGATGATGTTATTCTGATGATGCAGATAAGAATGCTTTAGCTATGGAGTGTTTTTTTCAGTGTTACGTGCCATTCTTCATTATGCAGTCACCTCTTGTATCTGTCAGTGTCATGAAATTTCATGTAAATATCATAAAGAAAAAGATACAGATGGTAGTGATATCAAAAGGAGTATATGTATATGATCTCTGTACTACTTAGGCCATGTATGAGAAAAGTAATCTCTGAATATGTGATTAACATTCACCTACGTGTTGAAATCCAGTGTGGCTATAATGGGGATTGTTCTACTTTAGTTAATGGCACAGGATCTTAGTAGTTTTGCTGTTTACTTCAGTGTAGTCTGGATTGATTTTGAACCAGCTAGCTCTTCATCTTAATTCTAGGTCTGATCTGTGAGTGGGATAATTTGACCCCATACTTCAGGCAGATGATGTGAGGAGGAGATGATGTTTATGTCACTAATTTTTATACCCTTCAACTTGAGTCTGCTTGCAGACTCTTCAGAAATAATAAATTAACTAATTTATAAGATTATAGACTTTCTATATCCTACAGCTAGGAGATTTCAGCATCTGTTTTTGTTTTTTCATACAGAGTGGCTAGACCTGCTTAAGTGAATCCAGTGTGGACTAATTTGTCCAGGACAATGACTAGTATTAAAGCAGCTGATTATAAGGTGTTCATGTTGACTTTATTAACTCAGACTCCATTTCCAAATAATTAATTTTCAATTTAACCACAGTACATTCTCTCAGTTGACTTTTTGGGAAGTCTGAGTGCTACAGAAATTCCTAGATTTCTATTTAACCCTGTTTCATTGTCCTTTTAGTCTACTTCTCCCCCTATTCCTTCCTTCTCCAAGGTTAGTGTGGAACATAATCCTTGGAAGGAAATACTGTTATAAGGAAATCTTTCCTCCTAAGCTTCCAAAAAGGTTAGAACTGTTTTAGACTACTTCTAAATATTCTATAAATATCTTAGAAATTGTATTCAAGAGATTTTCTGCAATGCATACAAAATTCCTAGTTTATATTAAGTAACTATGTAAGCAAATAACTTTTTTTCCTGTTTTGATGATAACTGCTGGTTTATTCCTTATTGTTTTTCAGTGAGTGAGTGTGGCTTTACTCAATCATTAACTGCTCTGTAGGAAGAGTATAGTGCTTTAAGGAATGATGAACTAGAAGTAGTCATTGATCATGACAACAGGTAGAAATTGGGGCAGAGATAAAGCAGTACTGCTTAACTAAAGCTGTCGCATGCTAGTGTTTTTGTAACCACAGTCCCTTTATTCCCATTCTGACTGCTTCTAGCTAAGGTAATTTTCTAGTTGAATGGGCTTTTAACACATTTGAGTCTCTCTTCTTACAGACTGATACATTCTGAAAATATGCTGAGTTTTTCAAAGTCTCTTGGGTCAGGTTGAAATTTCTGGTTATTCACACAAGGGAGATGATAGTGCCTGTGCCCCTGTCCCTGACTGTTGAGGGCAGTCAGCTGGGCTGTGGAAGATCCAGGTTAGTCTTGGGCATGGAACAAGGGGATATTATAGATCAGGGTTTTTCATAATGATAGTCCTGACCACTGAGCTGTTGACAGAAGTGGGTTGGATTAGGATGGATTAACTGTCACTTTTTATCCTATGAGGGATGGATAACCTATTAATTTTTTTATTTGCTCCCTTAAAAACTTTGACCATAAATTGAGGGCCTGCTGAATGGGGGAAATATGAGGTTTTACAGAGGAAAATAGATGTGTGTGTTTTGGTGTGTTTGTTTTTTTGTGTGTGTGTTTTTTTTTTTTTTTTCTCTCCCCAAGCTCTGAAAACAGCATTCTAGTAGAGTATATAAAATTTTGGGCAGGGTAAAATACCTTTCCTCAGTGTTTTGGTAGTTCCCGAATACATCATGGTGTTCTGCTTGGTCACTTCCCATTTCACATGCCATCTTTTTATAGTAATACATATAGCTGGGTAGAACTTTGTTTCACTTATACTAGCATTTATTAGCAGGAAATATGTCTCTCCTGACTTCAGCTGTTCAGATCTTTCAACTTGATTTGCATTAGATTAGAAAGATGATGTACTGTCAGGTAATTGAAATAACAAAGTTCCAAACCATAGGAGAAAAAACATAGTTGGGAAACTTGGTTTAGCAGATAATGTACTGAAAATTAAACTTCAATGAGCAGGTGTTGTAAAAGGGTCGATTGAAATACAAGCATGCAAGTCTCATCCACTCAAGCAGGCTTACGTGTTATTCATGGAATTTGGCTATTTTATAGATTATCTGCTTTGTTTTAAGAAGTGTGTATATATATATATGTATCTTTGAAATACCACAGAAAAAAGGGTTCCTAAGCCTTGGCTTAGTTTGTGTACTTTAATTTACAGCTGCATTCTTTCCACCAGTCTCTTCGTGATCTCAGTAGTGAACAAGTTCGCCTAGGAGATGACATCAGTCGGGAGCTTTCAAGAAGAAATCGGTATAAACAGAATATAACTCTGCATGAAGAATAGTGTGGAAAATAATTGTTATGCTTTTAAATAATTCTTAAACTCCTTTATTCTTTTGTATCTAAAAAAAAAAATATTTGGGGGAGAGCGAGGGCTTGCACAACGTGTAGATGGAAGCAGTATTATGAACTTCTTGTTCTGTGTCATCTTGTGCAGTATTAATAAATGTAAATAACACTCATAAATTCTGATTTGTATAGTATATGTGTATTTCCCCCCCTTTTTTTTAATATGTGGACAAAATGACAAGGACTTGGGAATTTCTTTTACTACAACTTTGTTCCTTACTTGTTCTTGGTACTGGAGACTCTTGAGGGCAAGCTCTCATGCAGGCCATAATGTTTTTTTAAAGTACATACTGTTGCAACATATGGTGCTTTGTCTAATAGCAATAACAGGAATTAGTCTGCTAATTCCTAGTAGGAACTAGTACTGTTCAAAAGCACTGTGTAGATGTGTTCATAATTTTGTACTTGTTGATCTGATACCTAGCCCTTCAAACTAGATGCTTTGTTATCTTCACCTGAGGAGTGGAAATACTTTTAATCATTAATTTTCCACTTGAGACTGGTCTGTAGTTATGCTAGGAATTTAAAGGATGTAGAAGAAATTGAAGTAGCATAAAAATCCAGGAGAATGTTACTGCTTAAAATTATCACAGTTGATACTTAGTTTTTGAAATGTAGAATGTTGTCTTACCTATGTTTTTCTATGAAGGACTGATGCTGAATTAAGAAAGACTCTAGAAGAATTGTCTGAAAAGCTCACTGAGTCCCAAAGACAAGAAACGGTGAGTATGGCTAACATGAAAAGAGGATTTATATTTAGTATTCTCAGCAGGATGTGGGCTTCTAGTTTAATATGTGTGTTGGTAATCAGTACTACACATTAGTACGTATATCTGAACATGATCTTATCTAGGCTACTGTAGGTTGTTACAATGTTACCCTTCCGTAATGAAATCAGCAAGACAAATTTTATATTTCAGCTACTTGTTTAAAGTAAAAATTAGTGTTTTACAAGTGCGTATGTAGTGAATTTTTCTTTTTCAAAATTCATGGTCCTAGAGAAAGCTGCTTTTTAACTTTGAACATTGGTTTGAACACTATCATACTCGTTGACGATAACTTAAAAGATACAAGCTTTCCCATGTCATGATGATGAATAATATTGTTTCTTCTTCCTCCCTGCCTTCCTGTCCTTTTCAGTCCTTACTATCTGTGCAGCCTAAAGGGAGGAGTCTCTTTTGGCTGCACTCTTCTCTGAAGACTGTGACAAATGTAACAAAGGAGGCAGGAGAGCCATGGTAGTGTCTTTTTTACCTCCTGTATCTGTCTATATCACTGAAATATGAAAGAGATCTGCTGTTGAGATGGAAGGCAAACAGTATATTGCTGGAGGAACGAGAGAAGTTGAGAATCTCTGCAGTAGTTAAGAGGTGAAAATCCTGCAAGTAGTTCTTGATGCATAAGGCTTGAGAGTATGCTTTATGTAAGTATTAGTGTGGTATCAGTAGCAATGCTGACTTTTCAGAGGAAGTGTTGTGTGTCCTTGTTTTCCCATAGGTGATTCATCTTGCCCTAAAATTGCATGAATTGGTACTAAATGCTCTGTCGAGAGCTTTAGTGATGTGTTTGTCACTGATAACAATGTTGGCACAGACTACTTGTTGGCACCAACAGACTTAATAATTGTACTTGTGTAATTTCTGACTGTAGATGAAGTTGGACAGGGATTCAAGAGACTATAATCGATCAGTATCAGTTATATGTTTGATATGATTAAATCCATCAGTGGAGGAAGACTTGCCATATCAGCTTTCCTAGAAAAATATAACAGGCTGTCTTTGTTAGAATGTTAGCTCTGCTTTGTCCTAATTGCCTGGTAGGAAGTTTATCTGATAAAGAATTCTTGGTACTTGCAAAACTCAGGTATTTTTCTTGCTGCGGTCTACTTCTCATTATACTTATTTTTTTTTGCTAATTTCTCGGTACATGAAAGAGCAAACTCAATAAGTTTTAACCAAGATGATTCTCAAGAAAATAGCTGCTACAGCTGACTACACTACAACTGTTCAATGCCTTTGAGCAAAACGAACCTTCCTTCTCAATCCTCTGGAATGCTAGCAGCCACTGTCTTTTCATTAATGAAAGAAATAACTAGCTCTTTGACCTCCTATAGTAGGATTTCAAGATTTGAAATTGAATGTTACAACTTTTGACCTAAGAGAAGCAAAAAATGTGATGTGAAGTGTAACAATGAGGCCTTCTGTGGTTTGTTAATGCTAAGGGGCATACCAGAGGAGTAAGTCTGTTGGGAGACACCGTTATCATTCAATAAAGCTATGAAAGCTGAAGTGTTTATTGGCATTAGTGAAGCTTTTAGTGAAGCCACAAATTCTGCAGTAAGCTGCAGTGAGACAGTTTTCATGTGCAGGACTAGTAAGACTTCAGCTGGAATATTCTGCTCATTGCTGCTTATTATCTTTAGGAAGAACAGTGGCCGAATAGAGAGAAGACCAGAAAGGGAAGAGTTAAAAAACAAAAAGAGGAAAAGTAAAAAAGGGCATTCATTCAAAGACTTACTTGAAAGGTTAAAACAATTGCTAGGGTTCAATCTGCACTAGTCATGTATGATGAATGGTCAGAAAGCAGATGTGTAGTGAATGATATTAGAATAGGAAAGCATCTAATGATAATTCTGCACAATACTAGTCTAATCAATTGTGACTTGGGAGCTTCTTGGCCTGGAATTGATCTCCATACTCTCTGTACATAGTAATCCCTCTGTGGATTTATTTTCTGGAATTTGTCTTTTTTATAATTTGCATATCTTTATCATCTTGTCCTGCAGCAAGAAGTTCTCCAGATCACACATTGTGAGAGGAGCTGCTACTTTTGTGGTGGTTTGTTTTTTTCAGTTGTTTTGTGTGTGTGTGTTTGGTATGTTTTGGTGTGTTTGATTGCTTTTTTGTTATCTTTTTTGTTGTTGCTTTTTCATCTCTAATTGTCATTGGAGGAGGTTGTTCAGTTTCTTCAGAGCCTTTTCAGAGGATTCCCCTTCTCTTCAGGCTGAGGAATTTTGACATGCTTAATCACTTGTATCCAGACAATTCCACACCACTGAAAAAGCTTAGCTGTAGCAACATTATGCACTGCTTCTTTACCTGTACTCTCTAGTACTAGGTATGGATCCTTTGCCCTTGTTCAAAGCCTAATGATCAACTGTTACACTGATGAGGCTGGCAGAATGGGTGAGATGAGGTAAATGCAAAAGAAGGGAATTTAGTATGGATGTTAGGAATAAAAATAACTCTAATGGTGAGCATAGCAAAGCCTGACATTAGAGTGAGTGTAAAAACTGTGGTCTGTTACTGTAAACTTTTGAGATCCTTTAGTACCTGTCTGTGCTTAGGAATTCTTCAAATGAGATTATTTCAGAATTGTTTTCTTATTGGTGAAAGTGAGTTGGGTAGGAAGAAATACTTTTTTCCTCACAACTTCCTTATGCAGGAACTTTTGTCCTTAGTGTCTTTATCAATTCATTTTGGAGTGTTTGTTTATTGCCTCCGACATTGCTATCCTTGTATTTGTATTCTACTGTATGATTCCTGGTGATAAATTGTCAACTTAATCTTGATAATTTAACAAGATGAGTTCATGGTAGGAACATTCTTTCCAGTTCATTGTCCTTAATTTCCGTAGGGACATATATCTAAATTCTTACAGCTGTACTTTTGAATTTATTCAGTGCTGTTTGAAAATTGCCTCTATAACGATATGTGGTGATAAAGGTCTAGTCACTACAGTTGTTCTGAGTCACTAGTTCAGAATTTATTTTTTTTAGAGGTTATGATTCCTAGAGCCTATTTGATGCTGAATCTGAATGCTTTGAGCCACACAACACTACCAATGCACGTTAATTTTGCCTTTAAAGGGAGTGTTTTCCACCTCACTAAAAATAGAGGACATCTGAGGTGGTGAGACAGGCATCCAACTACGCCTGTGTCAAACCAAGCACTCTCCATGGCCTTGCACTTGAGAATCTGTGTGTGGTTTTGGTGTGAAGACTGCAAGTTCTACAACTCTCACTCCATCTAAATCTCTTACCTAGACATTTTGTGAGATGCCTTTTTTCTTGAAAAGAGTTTGGATATTTGCTGGAGGAATGTCTATGCAAATCTATAAACAATTGAAAGAAGGTTTACTTACTTTGTGGTTATGTAAGGTAGCCCTCTTGGATGTTTTGTTGCAATCTCCTGGTATAGAATTGTATCTGAAATAGCACACAAAGCTGATCTTCGTGCATAAAAAAGCAACTACACCAAAGCGCAAATTTGTTCAAATTAAGTAGATGCTTATTTGAGATGGTGCCATTAGAAGAGTAATGTAGGCTGTGCCTGTGGAAAAAGAGCAATGACAAGTGAAATGGGTCTCACATGGAGCTAATGTGGTTATAATATCTCAAATAGCCAAGATTATTGTCTGATAAGGAACTGTCCTCCAGAAGATCTGATATAGGGATTTTTAGCATTGCACAGGTGACTTGTAAAATGTATATCGCAGATTATCATGTCACGAGGGAAAAGTTTAACAGTATTTAAAGTCGCATCTGTGAAAAGTTTGTTATCTTTGTGATTTTAATACTTATGTTTCAAGTCTGCATTGATAAAATAGGTCATAAGAAAGGCAATGAAAATGTTGAAATAGACTTCAGTCAGCAGGACTTGTGCACTAGAAATGATAGCGGAAAGCTGAAGAACAGGAGAGAAAATCAAGAAGTAGGATGCAGTTTTTTGTAGATTAAGCATCCAGCATCTTCCACAGATTATATTTAGCTGCATGACTTAAGCGTCACTCTGGATTTAAACAAGACATTCTATTCTTTGTGTTTAATTGGTGGTGGAGGAACTTTTTGATAGCCTAATCCATTTTCTTAGATTGTCCTGCTGCCTAAAAGCCTTATGCAGAGACATAGCTCTTAGTGTCATGATTATCATTCAGGTAGTCTGTGTTGCTCAAAATGCATCCTTGAATTCGCATTATAGTATGTTGTGAATGCAGTAATTTAATGCTAGCCTTTCATGTCATTATGTAGAACCTCCATATTTCTTGCACTGTTCAGTGAATCACTTGACTACACTAAGGCTTTTGATAAGATCCAGAGGACAAGATACATACTCCTGTGGTAGAAACATTGTCCTGAGTCAGGGTCATTTGGGATAAAGGAAGAGAAGTGAGTTTTAGAGTTTCTTCTATGTGTACTAATTAATGATTTAACACTTAACTGCTTTTATTTTTTTTCTTTTTGTCCCTGATGTTGTATGTCACAAACTCTGTGACAAGCTGAGGAAGGTTAGAGAGGCTACATAAACAGGGAACATAATTTTTGTGGGAGATAACATTTACGCAGTTTACACTGGTGTAGACATTATGTTGGGGGAACTATGTTTTTAGGGGATGCATTAACTGCTTTGTGGTGCAAATAAGCAGAAATATTCCAGAAGGAAAAAAAAAAAAGTTATTTGTTATAAACAAGAGTCCTTTTGTATGGCTTTTCATCTGTGAAATACTCACTTTTACACAAACTTGTGTACTTTATATATATCTGGAGAAAAGGATGACAGAGATTTCCCAATTTTCAGCAAAGATTTAACAAGTTTAATGACAAAGTGTTATTTTCTGTTCCTGCTAGATACTATTGCTTCTGCTAGCAGGAGTGTTTTGTGAATTAATAGAAGTAATGCTAAGTAGTAGTTATCAAACCAAATGCAAACATTGTGATGTGTTCCTTAATTTTTATACAGTAGTTCTTAGTAAGTAATTATTCTGGATTGTGACTACAGAGCTTTCATAATTTATATGAAAGAGCGAGGTTTGATGCAGTATGTTTCTGGAGCATCTCCTGATGGTTTTAAGAGAAAATACAGGATTCCAAACTGTAAGCTGGCTATTCATCTGGCTGCACAAATGTTTTCAAACTGATGTATTCTGTTCTAAAGAAAAAGACTGTTTCATTCTTTAAATCTGATGTACTTGTGAAGCCCTGAATATAAATGTAACCTTAATTATGTTTCTGTTGCTACACAACCGTGTTGCTCATGTTAAAATTTTCTATCTGCACGTATGCCTAGTACTAGTAGAAGCATGCTGAATGGTGAAAGTACAGATGAAAATTTGTTCCCCACCACGTATATCAAACTAGTAGTTGAATGGTGTTTTAAGTAATTTTATTTTTATCTAGATACCACTCACATAGATATATTGCTTTCTAGTGACTGTTTAAAACAATTAGTTTTAAGGTAGGGAGGAAATGGTACATTATTATTATTTTCCTTGCTAATCTTCAATTTTAACAAGATAAATTTAATTTTCTGCCCACCAGAGGGTGCTGTCTGCTAGCAAGCAACTTGAAATGCAAAAATAAAGTGGTTCTGGTATTGTACTTCAAGGTTGTATTATTGCGTTTATAATCCAGATTGCTTTAACAAATAAGTAGTGTTTGTATTAGTTTACATGGATTTAGAAAATATCGGGGAAAAGTCTTAAACTAATGTGATGGTTTTGTGATATTACAGTCATGTACTTAGCTCTTGTTTACTACTTTTCACTTGCAGATTTTGGAGTAAGAAAGAGGCAAACATTGCTCTGTTTTACAGACTGGAGATGTGAAAGAAATGACTCTCCAGAGGTTATTAAGGCCTGTGGCAGAGAAGCTAAGATTTTTGTGTTTCAGCTTCAGGTTAGGCTGCACCAAACTTGGTACTGAGATACTTAGCACTCGAGTAGAGCCACCACTGTAGAGAAAACTATCCATATATCTAAGGGAGGATATTACTAGCAAGATAGAAGGTCAGTTCCCTGCTTGAGTATTTCCGGAATACTCACTACTATAACTGTAGTTACTTTCTATACCATTCTAAATCTTATTTAACAAAATAAAGGTTGTGTTCTCTCTTCTTTCTGCCCCATACTCTATTTAACCTTTTTGCCATTTTTATCTTAATATGTGGCAAAACATGCACTAATTCCCTGCAGGGTTGTTTTTTTCCTTTTGAAGGTATCGGAGCGGGTAGAGAGAAGACTTCAGGAGATAGAACAAGGAATGCGTGCTGAAAGACAGCTTGTAGAAAGGCGCCAGGACCAACTGGGACATATGTCTCTTCAATTACAAGAGGTATGCAAATGAAAGGTTCCTGTGTGTTCAGGATTAAGTTAGGAATGTGCTGTATTTGTGAGCCTGGACCTGTCAAACTGGCAAAAGTACTCATATCTTTGGCATCTTTTAGCTGTATCAGTCCAGCTCTGCTTGTTTTGGTAATCAGATGATAACAAGTCTCTGTTCTTCATGATACTGTCTTGTCTATATTTAGACCTTTTTGATGACTGGTACAAGATTCTTTAAAAGAAGCCACCCACTATGTCCTCCCTCAAACCCCAAACAAAGGAAGTCATTAGCTGCATTGTCTCAAATAAAACTTTTTTTTCAAAAATGTAAACTTTGCTTGCAGTGGGCAGTTTATTTTTAAGTTATTTCAACAAGCAATCAAATGCAGTGTACTGGCCAGACAGCTTCTTATTGCTTTTCAAACAGTTTAATTCAGCAGTATCAGATGAAGTATAAAATATTGTTTAGGAGACAAATAAAATGTTTATATTATGAATTAAAATTGGAGACAGCTAGTAGCCTTTTTTTTTCCTGCTTGTTTTAGGAAATGTATGAAAAATACATCTCTGATTTTACTACTGTTTGGAAAATCTGTGTCTTAGCATAGTGTAACATTTTATTTCACTCCCTTTAAGGTATGATTTGCTATGTTATCTCTATACAATAGAATACTATAGTTGAGAAGAAATAGGCAATATTTTGTTTTTCACTTCTAATATTAGTGATAGTATACATGCTTTTTGAAAGACAGTTGTTTTATAATGTGCAGTGATATTGAGGAGGCTTAGTTTAGATTGACACTTTGTATTTCATGTAAGGCTAGAGACTTCAAAGAGGTCATATTTAGGAAGATTCTCTTTTGATATAGGTAAGAAGTAATGTTTATCAAAATGCTTAAAGCGCTTCTGCTAATATTTCAGAAAGAGTTAGTGTTTCACTTTTCCCTCCATTGATGTCCTAGTGGATGAAAAGAGCTGGAGTGTTTTATTGCAGTTTTCATTGCTCTTTAATATGCCTACGTCCATTTCTAGATTCTTCAGCTGTGCCTTTAGTCCCGTAGAGGGATGCTTAATGAAATGAGTTGGTGTCATCTGCAGATTGGAGCTCTCTTTCTTTTATCCTTTTAAAGGAATAATGACCTATATCTGTAAAGATACACTGACACTGCCATGGTTTCCTTAGAAGAATAACTTGAATTCAAGTGAGTGAATTAAAATATATTTCAAAGACTTTCATATGATTGGCTATGTGATCATGAGCCCTCAAGCTGCATGCCTTTTTTTGTAGTAGTTCATCTTTTGACTTTCTTGCAAAATGAGTATGAAACACTAAGTACCTCCCTGACCTTCCATTCCCCTAAGGCGTCCAGCTGTAGATGAAGACATTTTAATCCTTTATCCTGCAAATTCTATTTTGTTCCATGCAGATTTTGGTATATTACTTTTCCTGAGGAGCCCCTTTCTATTTAAAAGATTTTTTTGACACCACTGTTAAAAACTTTGATATATAGTCTCATTATTAGTTTACAGGAAAGCTCAACACCTATTAGCCTGCTTGGTAAATTTTTACTGTTCGGAATTTGCCCAAGCCAAGATTCAGAGCAAATCCTGACTGGAACAGGCTTATTACACACACTACACACTCACAGCTGCTGCTGCTTGGAGGAGAATCACATTCTTGGTGATTATCTTCACTTTCTCAAGCAGGGGCTCTTATCTCCAAATCGTCCTCCTGGGTGGCTGATCTCGGTCATGACTCTGGATTTCTTGGACTGGACTCCTGTCACTGTATTTGGAAATCCTGATAAAACATAGATTACTCCTATTGCAATGAATTACATTTTTTTTAGGGGCTTCAAACATTTAACATGCAAAATAGAACCTGATGGTGTCAGATGATGAGTGTAGAAGGGAGCTTCTTTCAGGAGGTATTACCTAATCTTTGACAGATTACAGAGGACTATGGAGACAATATCACTGTTGAAACACAGACTTCCCTTACGCTCCTGGTAACAACAAACAGTGTGTCCTCTTTTGCTTTTCTCATAGCTGTCTTAACAGCTTGGAGAACATCTTTGTGACAGAGTTGCAACTTCCTACATGTCAGATATCTTTAGACTCCAATTTTGCTAAGATCCTTAGATCTCAGAGCCTTATTAGAAGCTTCCATGCAGCTGTCCCACCATCTTTCCCCATTGAACATTCATGTTAGTTTGTCCTTCTCTCGTTAGAAAATGGTCTCTCTTCTGGATGTGTTTGTGTTTATCAGGAATGGTTCAATATCTCTTGAACAATTGGCTGAGCTCTTTAGCTCTGACATTGGCAAATTGGATCACCTTGTGCCCTGCCTGTTGAAAAACACTTGTCTTTGAGGGCAAAATAGTCTGGATTCTGTACACACTGCCTCTCTGTGTACTGTCGTCCTGAGAGGTTGCTGTTTGGGAAAGCTTTGTGGAAAATTACCTTGTTATGGAATATAAATTATAGAATAAATAAGAATATGAGCATATCTAAGGAGGCAAAATGTTTAGAACTGATATAATCTCAAATTAATAACAAACAGGAAAAAATGACAGCACCAGAACAGTCTGGGAACTGGGTGTAGCAGATTTGAGTTTTTGAGCTCCTGGCTTTTGATCTTTCAAATTTTCTTCTTTGTATGTGGTATTACAGATGAATAGATTCAGTATAGCAAATGAAATAGTCGTAAATGACATTATTCACTCTATGAAGTATTTAAAATTTATAAATAGTTGAAAAAGGTTGTTATTTCAGCAATGTATTTTCAAGCTGAGTAGTAGTTGGCTTCTTGTTGATTTGTTCATTACTTGCATCAATGTAACTGATGTATTTTGCTAAGGTATTTTTTATTTTTTCTGTACAATAGACAAAATTAAATTTGGCTTTAAAGATATCTGAGCAAAGTTGTTAGAAAAATGAAATAATTTACATTTTTACATTTTAAATGATTTTTTTAAAAAAAAATCCTATATTTTAAGTAGACAATTTCAGCAATGTCTACTGGGTAATTATTTCTTTTTTAATAAAATAATCATATTCCTGATAAGAATAATTGGATTTTGTGTAACGTATGTGATGTCATTTGACTTTTTTCTTACTGATCACACATCACTTGGTGGTAGCATTTACCACGAAGAATGCTTGATAAGTGAGAGAATTTTCAAGAACAGAGATTCTCAGACTCTGGTGTGGAAGCTTACTTATTTCTTGACTGTCTTACAGTTGAAGTGTGACTACATTGTACATTATGAACAGCAACTACTTAATACAATATATGACATTGCTGTGTTTTTTCCTTATTGCGAACTATGTTCTTTCATGCTGCTTTGATACTCAACTATTGCAGATGCAAGTCTGCGAGTCTCATCAGTGTACTCCTTTGATATCTCACGGGATGTACAGAATGATGCTGAAGATTGGCTACTGAAAAAGGTGGATCTCTTAATTTAGTACATCCATACAAGTGTGTACTCACTCAAAGATTCTTAGGGGACATTGTAGATGAAAACACTCTTAATGAACACAGTCAACACAGGGAGAGACTACTTACCTTTTTCTGCAGCTTGGGTTTTTAATCAGTTGTTCCTTTTGTGGTGGCTTATATTTGACCTGAAGTATCAGGAGAGGCAGCCAAGCTGCTTTCCAGTAATTGAGATGTCCTTCACTGGTGAAGCATGAATGCATTTAGGGGTAAACCCTAGCCAGTAAGCTCTAATAAATATCTGTACTGGTTATCTACAAGAAGGCTTGGAGATGATGGTAGCCACTTAGGTTGAGTTTTTGTAATTTTCTTTAATGACGCTTGTCTTCAGTAATAATACTAACCTGGACAGTGATGGTCTTGGAATTTTTTGGTCCCCACTACATTTGGAATGGAGTACTTGAGTTCACCCATGTAACTATGAATATGTTCTTAAGGGACTGCCCAGAATGTTGCTTATCATCAACTTGAATTTCTTTGAGGATTGATAGCCATCTGCCCAGTTGCCCCTTGTCTTCCATTGCCCATCATTTTTTGTCGGCCCTTTCTTTGAATAACCTTGGGATTGAGGACTGTGAGGACATGGTCTTCCATTTATGCAAATATAACATATTGGAGGAGAGGGAAGGGTAAACATGCTCCCTGCAGATTAGGAGAGAAAGCTTTCCATCAGATCTTGAAGTGTGTGTGGACAGTACATACTAAGGAATGTATCAAGAAGTAGTCTTTTAACATATAAATGTTCCTGGGGCATGGTGTGTATCTCTCTAGTTTAAGCTGCTGTATATTAGAAAGAATGTACTTGAATTGCTTTGTGTAATTTTGCATACCCTAGTGAGAATAAAGTAAATAACTAAATATTTTGCTGCAGTTGTTATTTGTATGATGCATGTTTCTCTCTAATTGTTAAGATTAACTTTGTTATTCTGTTTCTTGTCCTTTGTAATTTGAATTATGAGTTAGATGGACTCTTAGCTCTGTCAGGTGATCATTGTGTGGATGTGATGTTCTACTAAAGTTGTTGTCTGTCCTCTTTTATTTCTCTAAGAGGTTTCCCAAATAACATTACTGGAAGGGAAGGTAGGGTTTGGACTGAGTTCTGAAAATCTGTTCTTTAGTACAGCCTGAATGATTTACAAAGAAACGCTACTTAAAGCATTTGTGGCTACTTAACGAGACAATTTTTTCATTGGTTTGCCGGTTATACGTTTCAAACCAAAAAAAATCAAATTGGGCTTTTGGATTTGATCAGTTGTTGCTTTAGTTAGGAAGTCTTGTGAGGTGTAAATGTTATTTTGAAGGAAAACGAAGTGCCCATAACTGACCACTAGTTGTCAGCATTCTATCATTTTAAGAGTATCATCTTCCTAAATCTCAATTATTATATATTTTCAGGGTCTAACAGAATATGATGAAACTTTTGTTTCAGTCTTTCTCTTTTCTGTCTTGTCTTTCTGTCTGTCTTTTGTATGATGTGCAAACTTTGTATTGCACTATTATTATAATCATAGATTTATTAATAACCAAGATGATGATCTAGTTGCATGCTGACCATGAAGGAAGCTTGGCATATAAAATTTTGCACCTTTAACATCTAAATTTGCTTTATTATTTTGAATTTCTAGTCTGTCTGTGCTGCATGTCAGTGGATAAAAATTTTCCTTACATTTTTATTTAACAGTGTATATTTGTGTGTTTAAATAGCAGTTACTGCAAATCAGAAATTTGAAATTAGGAAACAGAATTTAATGCAAATCATACATCTTCACTTTCTTCTCTGTTCCTGATACAAACATGTTTCTGAGTACAAATATGCTTATCTTTCCAGTGCTACTGACACATATATAAGGGTTTCTTTAACAAAATACATTTGTTCTGTAAACTAAAACTATTTTTGAGATTCGTCAGTGCTTTATTTTAAACATGAAGACACCATCACCTTGTACTGTTTGTTTGCATTTATGCATTCATTTTCTAAACCAAAATCAAGTACTGTTCTTAAAAATGGGCTTTAACCAGCTTTTATATGCGTTGGATGTCCTGGATTGCTTTACTAATTCTTGTGCTTTGCTTCCTGGATTTTGGTGAGATGAGTCCATGTGTTCATGCTTTGCACGCTTTAAGTGAACAGAATCATCTTTATAGAACATTTTGAACCCACTGACTGGTAAGGCAATGACTATAGTTTTGTCTTAAGCTGATAACTTGGATAGGCCAGGAAGCATTTTTTTTTCTTCGTGCAACTGGATATTTAGAAAGTTTGCCTCGCACTGCACATACTGTGGAATGCAAGAGGCTGGTGGACTTTCAACAGAGAGTGGGGTGGACTGACAGTCAAAAGCATTATTGAAAATTCTTTTTTTTGCATGCCTCTATCTCTGATCATTTTAGACAAACATAAACTGGATCTGTTCTGAGCCATCTGGATGTTTAATGTGTCGTTGATACTTGCTCCTTGGCTCTGTGCTGTGCCACCTGTGGCTAATGGTTTCTGTTTTGATTGTAGTTTGATTCTGACTCCCTGTTGGAACATAAGCAAGTCTTATACATATCTGTCACTGAAATATCTAGGCAGTCTGTTTTTAAATGCCTGACTGGTATGTCTAGATAGCATACTTGGACCCATGCTAGCTGCTAATGTAGCAAGTTAGGGAAAGAATTTTCATTCAGATTAGGATGTGGTACATTTTTGCCTTATTTTAAAATACAGCATGAGATTGGTCTGCTTGTCTATTTCTGCTAGTATGAATATAATTCACTGATCAGTCTCATTTTGAAAGAGCAAATTTCAGTTTGTGGTCTGTGCATTACTTTCAAATAATCTGGTTTTATTTAAAAAACCAAAACCAAACAAACCCCAAAACCCAAACCCCAAGAAAAGTTAGGCTTAAATTGCAGTAAAAATTATGATTCACTATTGGAAGATTTTTGTAAGTTGGAAAGACTGAGAACTCTTGTTAGAGGCCTCCACCTAGTTTTCCCCATATATAAGAAAAAAATATCTGTCTAGCAGGGAGTAAATTATTTTATTTGTAGTTTTAAGGCTCAATATACTGTATATGGATGAGGTATGTTGAGCTAAGGTATACCAGGTATGCTAGTAATCTAATGCTGTCTTATGCTAGTGAACTCTAAAAAGACCTGTAAGAATTGCTTCTACGGGGTCAAATCAGAAGTTTGTCTAGCCTCAGGACAAGAGCCTGTTTCTGACACCTAGACAAGCAGTGTAACATCTAGCTGGTCCATCTCAAAACAGCGCTGTGAAGACCTCTTTACAAGGAAGTTCTCTGTTGCCTTGTGGCCTCCGCCGTGCTTGCTCCCTCCAAGGCCTCATCAGCTTCCTTGTCAGCTTCTTCCTGGCCAACCTGGACATTAATGCTTTCAAGAGAAGGGTCTTGGTGGAGAAATCTTAATGACCGCAGGCTTGTTCCCGTTCCCTGGTGCTTGAGCATTGCTAGGCGGAGCTCTGCTGGGCAGCGGCTGCCTGCTGCTTGGGAGCCATCAGGGAAGAATGTGTGCTGGATGTGTTGCTCTCATCATCGCCTTCCTAGTTCCCATTTTTGACATTTGACTCCCCCAACCCCTTCTTTGGAGACAAAAAATGAAATCAAAGAAGCAGTAAGATCTTTACATGGTGTGTTTTGTATTTTTTTTCTCCTTTAACCCTTCCTTTCCCTAGACAAACCTTACATAGAGAAACCTTTAGTGGAGAAAAAGCCCAATAGTGCCACAGAAGAGTGAGAGAGAATTATTTAAAAAGGAGTACAAGAATGAGGGAAAAGGTAGAATTAACCTATGCAGTTTCTGATTTGTCAGTCAGTAGCAGCTGATGTTTGTCTGTCTGTGGATGTTTCCATTTCTTAATGACATTTCGAATGGCTAACTGATTCCCTACCTAGCACCTACTGGAAAAATGCATGTTTTACGGTTGAAGCAGTGCTTATGTGGTATGACTAATTTATTGTAACATGACATTCTTTTTTTGCAGTATTTTAATGCTGATACATATATGAACTGTTTTTTTTTTTTCTTAAAGATGAATTGGTTAAGGGCTATGTTTACAATATAGAGAAAACAAAACTGAACATCATATTTGTACTATCAGTGTACTGACTGTCTTTTTATTTGAAGTTATTGCTATTTAATAACCTAAATATCATGATCCTGATAAGTTGAAATGGCATATTAATTTCTGTGTTTTCTTCTGGGAATTAGTATGTACTACTGAGGCAGAGACATACTTTTTGCCTTCAGTAAGGAAATCCTTGAAATTTTTCCTAGTTTTTCTAATTCTAGCCCAGCTTTAACACCTTCCTTATGATACTGACACCTCTAGCAAAATCTATGGGTGAAAACATTAACTTTTGGTCCTATATTAATTATTAACTTAGTGCCAAAAAAAAAGTTGGCATACAGGTGACTATATAACAGAGCTTCTAATTTTGCTAGTAAAAATGAAGCTCAGTTGCAGTTAGTACACCTTGTATATCCTTAGTAGACTGTTCTGAACTGATACTTCTAATCATTAAAAAAAACCCCAACTCATGCAATAATGGCATTAGCTGAAGTGATAATCTTTGACATTTATTTTTTTTCTGTCTTTTTTTGTTCATTCAGCTTTTAGGGAGTTTTCCTTAGAATCTTTTTGAGTAAATTGGGAGTGTGTCAGGTCCGTGTGCAGTGAGTTTTACAGTTGATCGGAAAGATAGATGTGGATCTGTGCTGAATACTTAAAGAACTATCTTAAAAGAGTTACAGTCTTACAGTATCTGATTATAAATCAGTCAGATTAAAAGTGTAATTCTTTATGTAGCATAGTATTTTCAGTGGCATAGTTACGATAAATATCTTCCACAGTCTCAATTTTTAGTGTACGAGTGGGAGAGTAGTCCAAACTATACTGCTTCCTGAGTTGAGGACATAAGACTGAGACAAATATATAAATCAATCTCTTTTCTCCACAAAGCTACTTTTAAAAGTAAAACTTCTAAAGCTGCCTGGCTTCACTGAGCTTGATTAATATCTTGCTACTGTTTTCATACAGTGAAATTGTTCCCCAGTATACAGTGAAGAAAAAATATTCAAAACCTGAATGAAATTGCACTATTTATAGAGACAAATTTCAGGGATATTTAACGAGATATTCCTTTAAAATGTAAAAATGCTGCTCAGGAAGAACAGACCGGGAAAAAGACACTTCTTTCTGGACAGGCTATGTGTTTCTGTTCTGTTGTAGTTTTAGCAAGTAGTGGTGGACAGAGTAGATGCACTTATGCTTCATAATACTGGATGAAAGTAAAAGGTGCATGCTAAGGTCTCTAACTGATTTGTGGCTAGTATGAGAACCATTTGGTCATGTTGCACAGCAAAGAAAAAACATTTATTAGCACAGTTACTCACATTCACAGCAAATTCTATAGGTATGGCTAGTGATCTCTCTCAGCTGGTGTTTCTAAGTGATATTTAAGATGAGCCAATGACAATGTTATGGCTTGAGATATCCAAAATTGGGTTGTATATATTGCAAACTGTATATATCATTAAGGTCTGTGATGTCTAATGCATTACTTTGCCAGTGATTGGCTCTGTTTGCAGAGGGAATAGATTTTGAAATCAATATTCAAGGCAATTTTATTTTTGTAAGATGATTTAGAAAACGTATTTAAGGTTTTATGTCGGATTTTTTTTTTTTTTGTTACTTTACTTTGAGGAGGTAGACAGGAAAAGTCCCCATAGATTTAATTTTTTTTCAAAGTAGGGCACATCAATGTTAGTAATTTTTGATCAGGAAAGTTTCAGTTGATTCTGTCTTAATACTATGGTTCTAAGCATCTGTCCAGATTCAGATAAAAACAACTTTTTCCTTTTTTTTGGCTTTCAACCACAAACTGATGGTAGTGTTTTCCCTACTACAGTGTATTGTATTTCATAACATGCATATTTTATATTGGAGAATATATTCTTTTCATCTGATATGTTCACAGCTTATCTTTAGGGGATCTCTTGAGCCTCTTAAACCTTCATCTCAAAGTGTTTGGGCTTTGAGTGTCAGGAGCTCTATACATCGGAAGGATGTTAGTGCTAGTTTTGATTTTGTATTTGGCCCTGTTCTGTACATGGGTGTGTTTATGTGTGCACAGACTTATATTTATTTTTTCATAACAATATGCATTGGCTTCACATGGAAATATTAGACGTAGATAGAAAGCATTTGTCTAGATTGTTTTTTCTTAAATGTATCAGCAGATTCTTTCATTTTAACAGACTTACGAAGTAGGCTTCTCTAACTTTTATAATGAAGTTCACAATATGTTTTTCCCCTTTAAAGGCTTTAAGGAAGCATGATGCTAAAGCAGGTGAAACAGAAGAACTCATGAAAAATAAACTTGTGAAATATGAAAGTGAAAAGAACCAAGTAAGACTTAATTTTCTCCTTGTTTGGTTTTATATAAGTGTATGTTGTCATATATTACAGTATATGCTTCCTTTTCCAGAGCAACCAGCAGGATGAAACTTTACTCTTGCAGAAAAACCACTCGTCTTAATCAGAGGCACTGTGAATATAGCTATGCTGAACTTGTGTCTTTCCTTCAAAACTCTTTTAGTTATAGTGTGTTCCTTCTAATGACTCTTCCATCCTGCCAGTCAGACAAGTTTATAACTTGGGGATTATCCTTGATTTCTTTCTCTGATTTGTCTCTGAACTTATACATAGTCTGCTGTTGCTTACTTGCAGCAGCTCAGAGATGCAGCTTTTCTTTATCCCTAAAACTAACGCATGGTATTTTTTTTTTTTTTTTTTTTTTTTTTTTTGCACCATGGTTATTATGCATTACTCTTACTGTAATATCTGTTGCCATATTGCTCTCTTTCTGTTCAAAGAAAACCAGATTTCTTATATTTCTGTTCTGGCAGCATGCTAGGGCCATATTACACTTTTTCTTTTTTCCTTTTACACTGAGGTTAGCCTTTTTGTCAGTACTTTCAAAGTTATACCCCTTTATGCTAAACCATGAATGTAATGTTTCATGTTATGTTACTCTCTCCATTCCATTAATGCTGGTCCTGTTTACTTTGCCCATTTGACAGCCTCACAACATCTTTGAGATTGCTATCTCTGCAATAACAATTTCTGCAGTCAATAACTATATATTTCCATGTAGATCTTTGATTTTTGGAATATTTATGGTAAAAGTCAGAAAATATTTTGTAGCTTTTGTTTTCTGTTTTCTTCTAAATGGTCATCAGTTTGCTGACTGCTTCTGATTTAACATTTTAAAATTCCCTTAGTATTATATTTTTAGGAAAAATTCTACTTGTATGAAATTCTGGGCACTGAAATCTTCAGTAGTCTTGTTTCCAGAATAATTCAAATACATCTTCTTGCAGAATACAGAAAAAAATGTAGAATTTACCAATTATCAGTTCTACCAATGCATGTAATCTTTAACACCTTTATGAATAAACTGTGTGACACAGGTGACTTCAAATGCTAAGTCATTGTAATTTGAGTTTCAAAGTATGTTTCAAATCTCGTTTTTGAAACTTTTAAAGAAGTCTATCTGCCTTTCTTTTAACCCAGAAAAAAATTGCTTTTGTGTTTTGGATTATATTTGCTTTGTTGTTTTGGATTTTATATACTACTTTGTATCTTCATGTGGTACAGAGTATAGTACAAAGACTGTAGACTGTAAGTTAAATTATCTTTATGTAATATAAATGAAAATAACAGGGTTTTAGTACAAATGAAAGTTTGCTTTAAAATTTTGGACAAATAAGAATATTGTGTATGTTATGCCTTTTTTAAATAGATGCTTATACTGATTAATTTGTGCCAAAATTAAATAGTTAAAATACACTTTTGTACTATGATGCAAAAATTTCTTTTGTTTCTTCATCATTATCTGTAACGAAAGCTTGAGCAGCAATTGGAGCAGTCCCAGAAAAAGTTGAGTGAATCAGAAGGCAGTAGAGAAGCTCTTTTGCATCAGGTAACTGTTTTGGTGTGGTGAAAATCCTGAAGTTTTCATATTAGGCTATGTCTGAGTCTTTTTACTTAATCTTCCTATCTCATACTCTGATAACACTGCTTTGGGAAGGGAAGAAGGCGATATAGAAAGTCAGGTTTAATTTTCTAAAATATGTGGATTGAGCTCTCATTATACTTTCTCTGCATTCCAAACTTTTATGTATATATGTTTGTATATAATTACACTAGTGGTAGTAGTTATGACACTTTGTAAGAATACAAACACATTATTTGTATCTGCCCTTCATAGTATGCTTTAGAAAAATTTCTATATTAGTAGTTATTGTTATGCAAAGTGCATGCTATAGTTGGTGAATTCAGATAAACCAGTGACCTAGAAGTATTTGCTGTAATAAATATTTTTATTACATGTTAATATACAAAAAAGCAAACACCTGAAAATCTATCTAAAGTGTGCCCTAAACAATACCTACATATTATTAGATCTAGAAATTGCAGGGACTAGGATTATAGCTTTAGAAGTGTCTTTTCTCCTAAACATTTATAATCCTTCCTTCTTTTGGAGGAGCTGGGGAAAAAGATCAAAATAAATAGGGAGCAGTCAATTCTAATATTTACCTGTTAACATTAGTTGCTTGACTTGTATCTATCAGAAGTTTGAGTTGGCTGTATTATAGTGAATTAAATTTGAAATTATGCCTAGAGTATAGTGCTATATCACATATGGGTAATAGGAGTTAGAGCTATTTTCCTGCAATTCAATTTTAGCGTGTCATATTTTCTTGATTTTCCTGTACACAATATCACCTTTCAAGTGCTAGACTGTATATGGTAGAAAGGAAAAATGTAAAAACCCCACATGTTTAAGTACATTGTATTTTTAATGAGTAGAATTTAAATAAAATATATTGCTTATTAAATTTGTATAGATACTTTCACTAGAAATGTAAAAAGACAATTGCAACACAAAATGATAGCATTTTGTTTGGTCTAGAGAAATTAATTCTCATCTGTGGTCAACATAAATGTTGTATTTCCTCTAATTTTGAATAATTATTTTGTGGCCTATAATAGGGAAGTAATTTGTCTTTCTGTTTACCATCTGCTGTACTCTTGAGATTTATTTAGAAATATTGCTTGTGTATAGTATTTTTTTTTTTTGTAGCATTTAATCAAAGTACGCTATTTACTCTTTCATTTTGTTTTTCATTAAACATTTGATACTTGTACATATATTTTAGATTGAGGATCTTCGTTCTCAGCTTTTGAGAGCAGAAGAAGACCGCGCAGAGTTGCAACATCAAATTTCACATGTTGCTATGCACCGCCAGAGCTACCAGGATGTACAAGATGATGACAGGAGAATTAGAACAGGTACAAGACTCATATTTTGCAATAGAGGCCTGCAAATTAGTTAGCCTGGACATTAGTTCTGTCTTTGAGTTTGTCTAATTCTTCTACTGTTTCAACAAAAACAGCTGTTTAACTTCTCAGCTTTAAGGTAATAAGTACTGTCACCTGAATATTAACTAATAAATAGCAATGAGAGTTAAAATGTAAGTTAAAATACCATGATTTTCATGGTTAAAACAAATTAATATTATTAGAGACAATTTCAGCGAAGTGGGTAGTGTTTTTACAGAAGAAAAACGTGAAATATTTTTAAATAACAATTTTTCTGACATTTTACATTTCAGTCCGTTTGCAGTTTAAATTCTGCCATGTTGAAAATCGTAGCAATCATAGCAAAAGTCATTTACATAGCTGGCTAGTAAGACTGATGAATTTCTGGTAGAATTTATAAGGAGTAACAAAATGTTCCAGAGAGGTTAAGAAAATTTTCCAGTATGATGCAGTCAGTGCTTCTGTTTGCAGTACATTAGAATTTTAGAGATGGAACAATCATATTTAGAAGAAAAATACTTTGAACAATTTAAAGATGTAATTGCATATTAATTTACCACTTTGGGAAGGTCTTCGCTACATTGTTAATTATCTATCTGTATTTAAACTTTTCAAACATAATCAAAAAGGCATTAGAGAAAGTCTTTGTCTTTCTCCTTATTAACATAGAAATGTATTACTCAAGATAATAGAGGAATAGTGACTCCAAGTCCACTGTCTCTGTGAATGTTTAATTGGTTTGGTTAACGACTTATTTCTGTATTTTCATACTTCAGCTGCTGAATTAACTTGGTTATTAAAATAGGATTCTGACTCCCTGTTTTACAAATCTCATGCAGAGCATGGGAAAATGGCTAGATTTTGTACATGGCTTAGCTTCATAAACATAACACACAATAATAATTTTAACAGTTTTTCTCCCGTCGTGCTAATGTATCTGCTTAAAAGTGAATTTATTTGAAACAATGTCTTTCATGTTAATGAAAGCATATTTTATTTTTTCCATTTGTTTTATAATTATAAATCAAAACTGTTGTAAAAATATGAAAAAAATAAAAAATAAGTACTGGAGCTATTAAGATATACACATATATTTATATAATTTACTCAGTTATGTTTCTCCTTATTGCGTTATTTCTGTTCCTTCAAAGAAGCATGGGAAGAATACAAATGGAGATTTTCTTTGCCTCTAATAGTTGTTTATGACTAAAGACCTTTGAATTTCTGGCTGAGGAAATTTACAGTTTACTCTCATCAAGAACTTCTATTGTAGTTCTGGGATTCAAACATAAAATTCACAGATTGTGTGACTTCCAAATCAGGAGGTATTACTCTGGCAGGATAAAACCTTGGCCTTGAAGTTTGACCAAGTTTCATTTACACCAGGATTTCCCACTGTTTCTGCTGTCCTATTTTATTTTATTGGGTTTTGTTGTTGGGGTTTGTTTTGTTTTGTTGGGTTGGTTTGTTTGTTTAGCTGGTTGTTTTTTTTTAAAAGAGGGGAAAACCCCAATTAAATGACTGGATAAACAGAAATACTGTCTCATTAAGAGGTTATGATATAGGTATAGCCTATATTTAACTGTTACTTTGATCAGAATTGACAGTTGTAGTCTCAAGTAGAAAAGAAAATTGCCAAAAGAGAAATGAAAAAAAATTAATTTACTGCAAGTCAGTGTTTCTACTGGGCCTATTGTTCCATTTTCACTATTTCATAGTAGCTGAAAGATATGAGAGAGAAAAGCAAGAACTGGAGAAACATATTTTGGAGCTTAAAACAAAGCTGAGTCATAATGCTGTAATGTCAGAGGTAGAAGAACTAAAGAGATGCATAGAGCATAAGGACAAGGAGAAAGCACAGCTTGTAATGCACATACAGGTGAGTTCATTGTTGGTTTTTTTTTTTTTTTTTCCCCAATAATTTCCTATTTGCTTAAAATGGGTGGTATGCCAGATTAGATATGCTAAGACTATCTGTCGTGCCTCCTCTTAGTTTATTCTGTTAATAGCTTTGACAGATGATTTGAGTTTGCAGAGGTTTTTCTCTCCTATCTCGTTAATAAACCAAAGAAGATATTTTCTATTGCCCATAAATTCATGGTTTGGAGTACTACTCTTTCCCATGTGCAAAGAAAAGGTGATCGGATTTTATCAGCATTTACCATTAATAATGGCTTCTGGATTACTTCTGAAGTTAGTATTTACTTCCTTATTCCCCATTCCATCATGCTTCAGAACTAAAATTTAACTTGAAACAAACTGGGATACCTTTATTTCAGCAATTTAATGCAACGTAGTCATCATATTAATAAGTATTAGCAATCATATTTATAGTAAACACATACTATTTAAACTGATTCTCTGTAAAAAGAATAAGCAGTCTCTGATACTGGAATTTTAAGTAGAAAACTTTTACCTTGAGCATGAAATGAGATCTAAGAAGGAAGTAGCCTTTTTACTTAAGAGATTTCTGTATTTTTGGATCTTGTCTATATTTGTCATTGGTAGTGAGATCCCTGAACAGTAACTGTTTTCTACAGTCTTTCATGACTTTCAGGACAAATTTTCAAACCCTTGTATGGTATTTCAGTGGTCAAGTGCTTAAACATTTATTTTACTTGTATTGGGACTTTCAGTAAGTCAGAGGTTTTGCCTGTTGTGTTTGTTTTCTAATGAAGGTATATTTCTTTGAAGTGGTATTGTATCACTTCAGAAATTCAAAAGTAGGATGATTTTTTTTTGTCTTTCCATATATTTACAGAACTGTACTGTTCAGTTTACTTGTGCTGCTCTTTTTTCTTGTCAACTTTGTGCTGGTTTAAATCAAACTAATACAACAAATTACATTTGGAAAAAATTGAAGTCTCAAAATAAGTTCCTACATGCTTTATGAAAATAGGTCATTGAATAGGTTTAAAAAGACCTAGTGTGCTTCTATAGAGGGTAAGGCAAGCAGAACTCATTTCCTGATGCCTATCAGCATTTGTGTTCTAGCTGGCCAATACAACTCCCGTCTAACCTGAAAACTGGTGTTTTTTTGTTTTGTGGGGCCTGATAAATTCCAATTACTTTGGTGGCAGGAGTTAATGGGATAAAAACCCATAGAAAACCATTTTTTTTATATATTTCTGCTTGTTGAACATGATTTCTTGAGGGCCAGAATGATGTTCTAATCCTAATCTCCTGCTCTCTGAAAGTACTAGTGGAAGAGTGCTCAGCTGGGGTCACTGTCATTTCTCTGAATTAGAAATCTTTTGACTTCCCTGATTATCTCAACAGAAAATACTTTGTACTTCTTATCTGCTTCCCACTGCCATTTTCCTACAGAGGCAGTAACAGGAAAATAGCTACTGTGTTTTTCTTTTAATGAGACATCAAGGAATGCAAGGATGTGAATTTCTAAACTTAAGTACTAACAAAGCGTTTTGTCAAGTCTGTTCTAACAGATGCTCCTATCAGATAGTCTGATTCCCAGTTGGAAGTGACCAGTCATGTTTGACTTGAGTGTAATTTATCTTTGGATAGTGGGGAGGATGTAACTGCACATGCCTCTGGTGTACATGTGATATTAGAAATTTCTTTTGATTTATTTATATGTCATTGTTTTCAACAATTTGAGTTGTCTGTGTTGTACTTTTAGTCCCTGAAAGTTGCCATAAACTCACAATATGATGTAAAATGGAAAGGATGAAAAAGATTATAATCACACTCTTAAAGTCATGTTTAGAATTGATCTCAATCTTAAATTGATTTTTTTAATTCAGTAGAGAAAATTTTTATTTCAGTTGCTGTAGTTTAGCTGAGGATGCTTTTATAAGGTCTTGAAATGTATGCAACTATCTTAAATGTATTTTTCTGCATGGAATTACATAGATATGGGGCTGTTATGGCTGACCATTATGTCCAAGAAAAAAAGCAAAGTACACAAATTATAGAGATACATAAGCATTTTTAGACACATACTTGTGAAATCGTTTGATTTGCTAATGACTTCTCATTCTAATTAGGTCAAAGTAGTCTTACAGTACTGTCCAGTAGAACGTAACAGCAGTCAGTTTGTTAAAATATTTCAAATTTTCTGCAGGAAAGTTATCAATTTGTTTATTTAAGATTAGAATTCTTCAGTAATATAAGTCTCTCAGTCTTACCAAGATTGATGATTATCCAATTTTATGGCTTTCTCATCCTCTAGAGATGAAACTGCCAATTATTTTCATTATATGAGCCAATTAAGATATCTGAAAATCAATAAGTAACACTTTTCTGAATTTAAAGATATATTCTTACAAAATAAGAGTAATCAATACCTTTGCAGACCAGCCTGTATCACCATGTCAGTGGAGTTCAAATGATGAAATAGTGCTATAGATAGATTTAAAATGTACAGATACCATTCACTTCGATAAAGTTTCTATCTAAATTCATGTATCAACCACGGGGGAAGAAAAAGGTGTTTTGGCTGTATCTTATATTTGCATAAACCATTACCTCTCAGAATAAGTAGCAGTTCAAGGTTTGGAAAAATATGGAGAAGACATCACTTTAAGAAATTGATTTTGTGCACTATACATTTTACTGAATGAATACACTTCTTGACTGGTGTGCATCTTTGATTATTCAATTCACAGAATATGTGCTTGCATGAAAAATGTAAACCTTCTGTATTAATGGCTCTTGATGGTTAGATACAATGTGATTGGCAAGAGATGCAGATGAGATTGTGATGAATAAATTAATATTTGAGGTCTGCATTCAGTAGGAATTAGAGAAATAATTAGATGGATGATTTGGATAGCATTGGGGAAAACAGTATCAATGACAAGCAATATGATTACGTAGTATTAAAATCTGGTGACTGTACTGCTGAGATACAGTGCAGAAAAAAGAGCAGAGAGAAAAATACATATAGATCCACTTTAGGTGATTAATGTAATTAGTGTCGTGGGGTGAAATGTGTGTTTCTTTATTCTAATCAGTACAGAATGTTTGCATGTAACTGATACAAGACATTATTTCAGTAAATTGTACCACACGAGTGATCCTCACTTGCATTTTAAATGTTTAAAAAAGTTTTAAAGAATGTTGCAGTGTTGTATTTTCTATACCTAGAATAAATTTGGTATGCAGTTTGTGATGATTTTATTTTTAAATTAGATGTTGAAAATGCAGGTCAAAAGTATGATCTATGTAGTCAATCTAGGGACTAGAAGTCCAAACTACACGAGTTACTAGAATAGCGGCAGAATTGCATGTTTAGTGCCTGTGGTGATTAGTTTACACTTCAGATAAATACTTAGGCTCTAACTGGAAACTGTTGGCCTCTTTCTCTGTTTTCAGTTTCTTATGAAAGTTGGAAGCTAGATTACATATTGGGATGTCAGTTATGTAGAAAACTAGACGCGCAACTGCTTTACTTGGGGCAAATGTTGCATCTGGTTTTGAGTTTGTTTAATCACCTCTATTCTGTGTCATCTCTAGCCAGAGCCTGTCAGTTGAAATGTCTGTGGTGGTGTTGCAATCTGGGTGCTGATTATAAACTTGAATCAGTTTTTAAAATAATACTTGCATTCAGATCATAATAGGGGTACCTACTTATTCCAGGTGTTATTATTTTAATAGTCAAGACTGACCATATGTGAATCCATAGTAGGATGCAGGTATAATTCTATGTAAGATAGTTTGTTATTTTTTCTGCTCTTGCAGAAGATATGTGTTGAATATTTTTCCTGATTTGCTTATGAGAATGTCCTGAGAAATATCATCACATCTGAGCACTTGTTATATTTTAAAATGTGTGGTTTCAGTTTCATTCAAGTATTGAAAGGCCAATTAATGTTGGCTCTAATATGCTTGCTACATTTTCAGACATCTTTGCACTTTGTTCTAGAAACATCTACCAAGTTGCTGTATTCTCCTTATATTCATCAGTGCTTTCCAAAATACCCTTATTCAGCATGTTGCTTCCATAAAAGCAACCAGCATAAAACTGGGTAACAACTAGCTCATATACTATAGATTACTTTTGCTGTGGTGAATGCTGTTCTTTCCTTGTTAATTTTCTTTTTTCCTCTCATCTGTTTATATTCAAGTCCTTACATCTTACTATTTGCTTTATTCTATATTTGTCTAGTGTGTAACATATGAGAATCCTGATCAATGACTCAGTTTCAAGCTTAAAATGTAAGAGATAACAAGAACAACCAGAGTGGGAACAAATGCAGAAAGCAAAATAGGAGATAGAGTAACCATATATTTTATATCTTGTATTGAATTTCTTTACCATTGTAGAGAGGGAGATACTGCTGGGCTAACAGGACTTTCCCTGCTAGTCAAGGAGATGTTCTATGCTATTCATATTTTAGATAGAAATGTGGTTTAACACCGCTGTATGTTGTTTTATAAGATTTCATATTGTATATCTTTAGAGTTGGAATTTTCATATTTTGCTATGATGATTACAGGTGTTAACATCTGATCTGGAAAATAGGGAAAAGCAGCAGGAAAAAATGCTGAACCAGCTAAAAGAGATACAGAGTTGCTACAAGGCGTGTGAGAATGGACGTAGACAAACGGAACTCCAGTCTGCTGAGTTAGCTCAACAGGTTGAAGAGAGTAGTAAGGAAGCAGAACGGTACCTCACTGAATTCAAGCATTCAGAGGCACTCAGGCTGGAGATTGAGAAAAAAAGAGAAGATTTGAAGGTGAGAGCACAAGAAACCATCCGCCAGTGGAAGCTTAAATGTAAGAAACTGGATCGTGAGGTAGAAAAACAAAATGATACTATCAACAAACTGATGGACAAGAACAGTCAGGTAAGATTGACTGGGGATTTTTTTGTACCCTTTCCATTTGTTTTAGAAATGAAGATAAGGAATTTATTTGTGCAAACCGTGACTTAAACCACCTTCTGCCTTAAGTTCTGGACCAAATTCTCTAGTGAACTACAACAGAGCTAATTGGTGGCAATATTTCTTAGCTATTAGAGTTCTGCATTCTCTTCTTTATCCAGCATTAATGCCAGTCTCTTCACTCAATCAAAGCTTTCTTCCTCTAAAGAAGAAAATTTCTCTATGAATGTTGTTTTTATTTTGTTTTCAGTTAACTGTTAACATAGCTTACTTTTTAAGAAAATAATATGATTTTTTGTAAAAAAATGTAATCTCGTTAAGTAATAACCCTTGTTCAAGTTATGCATTGTCTTATGTAGTAGACAGTGGTCACATCTTTTGAAAGTAGGTGTTTATTTTCACCATGCATGTCTGATTTCTAGCAGACCTAAATGCTGTATGGACTTTGGCACAAATAGCATATTTTTAATTCCATTCTGTATTTAAGCTTGTCTCAGACTCTAGGCTTAGTAATGACATCTTTTATTGCCAGTAAAGACTACAGGTTCTGAAATATTGTAAGGATTGCGACTCAGTTTGGGTTTGATATTTGGAGACAGAAAAGTAGATTTTTTTTTTTTTTTTTTTGAGAATGTGCAGAGATTTTACCAAACTCTGGAGATTTTAGCAAAAAAGTCACTTTTACTGGCATTTGGGATGAGCATGCTGCTAATGCCTCCCATGCAGTTTCTAGGTTTGTCCATTCAGTTGGATAGAGAGTTTACATCCCTTACATTGTTGTAACTTCTTTACTTTTTTTAATGCTTTTCATGTATGTTTTGTTTCAGCCTCTTCCTTATAGTTTTCAAAACTTTTCGAATTGTTTTTTCAAATAAAAATTGATCATGTAACATTTCTGGCCTTTTCATTTGTCTTTGTTCAGTGTGGCAAAGCACTTATTCCTTTCTTCTTCCTATAAATTTTCTCAGGAAAAAACATGGTGTCATCTTTTTTTTTTTCCCTTGATTTAGGAGAATTCCTTGACCTTTTCTAGTCCTGACACTGCTTTAAAGACAAGCACTCACAACAGTGCTATTACTGATCTTGGAATAGTAGTAGAAACCATCATTCTGTTTGTAATGTGTCTGTAGGCCTTTGTATTTTCCGGTGGCTAGGTCAAAAGGTGCCTGCTCCCATAGTGGCTGGCTTTTATCTTAATTTATATGCTCTGCTGGTACAGTCTATCATGTTGTATGGCCTACTTCTGTTTTTAGAGAGCTTCCCTCACCTCTTTTCACATATTTTCTAGTGACATTCATCCAATTTAGGTTACTAAATCTGATGAACTTGTCATGACTCCATGCCATCCTCTGCTTTATCCTGATTGTAGATTTCAAGGTGTATATGGTGTGAAGAATGGGATATATGTATTCATTCTGTGTTGTTTCCGATCCAGTAACCTGTTCTGAGACTGGTACATGAATGTATGAGCATGGTCAAAGCACTGGAGAAGACACAATGGGGCTAATACTGAGTTAAAATTAATAAACTCTAGCAGATCTAAGCAGTGATTGCTGGGGTTGCTATTTCTCTCCTGAACTTCCTAGCATATTTTTTTGTTACTATTTGCTCTATCCATGCTCCAACAATTCATTCCGTAGTCATCTTCTATTTGTTAGCCCTAGCAGTTGTCTGAGGACATAAGGTGTGCAAACACTTAAGAAGTTGGTAATCTTTTGCCTAGGTAAATATAAGTGTTAAGGAAAGAAAGAAAGCCTAAATCATTTAGAAATTGTATGTGTGTCTCAGACAAATGAGAAGTAAAAAGCAGATAGAGTTGTGAATAACAAGCAGAAGGAGCCCCAAAGGACTCTGAAATCACTGCTCATGTAAATACATGGACAGGTCTTTGTAATGCCAATTAGTGCTGTCCACATTGAAATTTGCTTTGTTACATAAGCGTCCTTGACATGCCTCTTACCTCTTTTTAAGTGACAAATGCATAAAAATGCTCAATGCAGTCACTTTGGTTTAAGCTTCGTTTAAGAAATGCTGTCAGTATTCATTCTTATTTTAAAAATCATCATCATCTTGCCAACAAGTTTGAGGTGTCACTCCTGAAGAAAATACCTTTATTGGAGGATGTATAATATCAAATAAACTGTACATCATTGCGGAGAAGAAAATAATGCAAACAATATTTCATGTTCTCGCTACAAAGTTGCAGACAGTTTCCATATGAGGATATTAGCAATCTAGATGATGCATTCATTCTAAGCTTCAGGGAACTAGATGAACATAATTTAACCATCTTTGAAATATATAGACAATTAACATTGAGACAAAACTCTATAAAAATAAATAAGAAAGAAAAAGGAGAAATGGCAGTCTGTTGTCTTTGCTTTCTGTTTTAAGACTTCAAAAGGTTGATGGTAAATTTTGAAGATTGGATTACAATCATACCTTGCAATTTTGAAACATTCCAAATATTTACAGACGTTGGGTGGGCTATAGAAAGATTGTTTAGGTTTTATTCTTTTGGAGTTATTAGGATAATTTGGTTAAAGTCTTGCCTATCTTGTTATCCTTGATATTGATTGACAGTTGGATCTCTAACATCTTCTGTCTCTTGGGACTTAGAAGAAAATAAGTATGGAATGTAGAAAACATACAGTCAAAGCAAGTTTCTTATGATTTATTTCAAAATTTTACTGTTTTGTTTGTTAGTTTCTCTTTTATTTTTTTTTTAGCCGAATTGTGCAACTAAAATGGCAAGACAGTTCTAGGGAGGTTGAAACACTGATATTTTTGCATACCCCATATCCTTGATTTATTATTTTTGTATTTTGTTTTGCATTGCTTATTCTTGCTGTAATTACAAATTGCTTCATTATTTTCAGCCTGCACACTGTTAACCTTAATTGCCTTTTTGTTCTGGATTATTTCAAGTAATTTTGTTATAGATATAAGAAGTGTGTACTGTTTGTAGAATTAGTGGAAATAGTCAGCAAAATTCAGTGTAAAATTTATTTAAGCCAGTTTAAAGAATTCTATTAGTTTGTGATACATCAGGAAAATCTCATGTTGTTCTTAATCATTCTTTTTTATTGTAGTAGCTGTGTGTGATTTACGATAGATGTACTGTAAATTCCTTCTTATTTTAAACAGAATGTTAAAAAAAATAAATTATAATTTGAGATAAGAATCAAGAATGACATGTGTAACATGAGTTTAATGAAATGTAGCATTTTGTAACATACATGTACTTGCAGTGAAAATTTTTTCCTGTATTTAGTGCATTTTCTAGGACTTTTTAAACCTGAAACATATCAATGTTGGAAAAAAATCCCCAACCCTTAAGCTCCTTAAGAAATTTCTATTAAATGTGGCTGATTTTTATTTTGAAGATGAACTTTTAATTTCTTGGCTTTGATGCATGGGTGAAGCAGGCTTTTAATTGCTATTCATTCATCTATTGGGTGCAGTTTGAAAAATAATTTAAAGTTTATATACTTTATATGTAATATTTTAGAAAATAAACAAACCAAGTCAGCCTACAAAATAGACCTATAAGTAAGGTGTGCATGACCAGTAGTCCTCTCTGTATTCTGTTGTGTTACTGTATTGCCGCATTTCTTCCATCTTTCTATTTGGATAAAGCAGCAGAGAGACCTATTTCAGTCTGAAAAGAGGGTGAGAAAAGCAGGGGGGTTAACCAAAACTATCCATGTTTAGGAGGCTAGGTCATTTAAGGACAATTATGTCTTTGAGATTACCAATTTTCTATGTTTAAATTTAAAGAAACACTGAATACATTTGAACAGAGTTCATAACAAGCAAAAATTTTGCGTTTTTAAAGGACAAAGTGTGCTAGTGGTTCCTTAGATATAGGAATGTCTAAGGACATCCTTTCAACAACTTTCTTTAATTACTTCAGGTCACACTGGATTTTTTTCTTCTTTCCTAGGTCCTCAAAGAAAAGGATGATCTCAGAAGTCAACTTCTCTCTGCTATACACCAAATAGAAAACCTTCGGAAAGAGCTGAATGATGTGCTTACAAAGAGAGCCCAGCAGGAAGAACTCCTCCACTGCAAGGAGGTAAAACTGAATGAAATGAAGTCTCACCAAGTATCTCTCGAAGAAGAGATCAAAGAAGTTCAAGGTACTGTAAATAAATTGGAGAATGAGTTGAAAAAGCAAGTCTTTCTACAAAATCAAATGCAAGCTGAAAAGGAACACTTGGAGAAAGAACTTGCAACTATTAACTTGATCCATAAAAAAGATCAAGAAAGACTCTTAGAAATGCAAGCAGATGTAAAAAACTTAAGCTCTGTACGTGTGGAACTTACAAACAGAATAGCAGAAGAGGAGAAAGTAAAAAAAGAATTACATAAGAGTCTCTCAGATCTCCAGAAACATCAGGAGTTTGAGCATGAAGAGATGACTTCAGCTAACAAGCAGCTGAAGATGGAAAGAGAAGTTCACCAACAGGAGTTGGCAGATCTTAGATCAGAGTTACAAAACGTTAAAATCAAACATGAACGAAATGTTCAAGAGCTCATGAAACTCCTTAAACAAGAGAAGGATGATGCAGAGACTCATATTAGAATGCTAAAGGTACTTATTCTGAAGAATTCAATGTCAGACTTCCCTACCCCTCACCCCCATTGAGTAATGAAGGTAATAAAGCATAGGCTTTAAAACATTTAACACACATTTATTTATTTATTGCAGGTCATCATAAAAGTTTAAAGTCCAGGATAAAAAATGTACCAGTGTTAGGTGAAAAGCTTTTTTAGTTCAAAAGTAGTGAAATATGTATGTCTGTGATCAGAACAGAAGGAGATATATGAGGCTGTAGTGTTTTAATGATTTGATCCTTTCTTCTTCAACTGCTATTTCTACAGTTATTGTCATGGCACTATTAAAGAACTTGCACTATTTCAGTGATGATGCATTTTTGTAAATGTTTGAATTGCATGATGTTAAATTGCATGACAGAAATACTGTCACTGTGTCTGGAAACGTTTTCAGGTGGTGAATAGTGATCACGTGTAATGCTTGTAAAGGTTATTTTTGACAGTTCTTTCTATTTCAAAAAGTTTCTAGAATTTCTAATTTCTGTACAATTTCTCAGAAAAGTGACTGTGTTCACATAGTAAATGATGAAATATAGCATTGTATTCGTGAAGAAACAGGCCTTTAGTTAACATCATTTGCTCTGGATTCAAGGCTGTTGAATTGGAAAGAAAAGCATTTTAGTGGCTTTAAATGGTCTGAATAAAATGGAAAAGTTAAGTTGAAGTGGTCTAAACTGTACAATTAACTGTCAACAGTTGTATAAGCTATACATTACACTTGTATTGAAGCTATTTTGATCAACGGTTAAAAATATATGTAAGATAATACTTTATATGTCCTAATAATACTAATTTGTATGTTAATAGAGGCAGTAGTTTTCCAGACAGGCTGTGAATTACAAACTTATTTTGAGTGCACTTTGAAGCACTATAAATATACTTTCCACTTCGGTCTCATCAAATTACAAATCTACTCATAAAATTCTACCAATTTAACCATAAAAATCTATAAAATCCTTAATCAAAGTTTTAAGTGATTCATGATCTAATTCATCATAAGTAATATAAACTTGTTTATTTCCTTTCTTTTCTCACAAATATGCAAGTAGTTAAAAATGCATGATTTCCATGCTTTGGCAGTTATGAATTGACGTTACTTAGAAAAGGATTTTTAGTTATTTAATATATCTTTCATGACATAATTCAGAATAATTCTTGATCACTTGGTAGCACGTGGTAACACAGAAAGCATTTAATGAAGATAGCAATAAAAAACCCCTGGACTGTTGTTAGTGGAAGGATCATTAAAGTCAAAATATTTTGACAGCAGTGCTTAACACTGGAGATTTCATTTGTAATGTGTCTAGTCTTATTGAAGTGATCTGTCCAAATACGTGTTTTTTTCTTTGACACTGAAATTAAGACTATACATTTAATATCAAGGGGAGAGAAAGAAAGTATATTCTGGATGGTAGTAATTAAAAAATTAGTTGATGATGACTATGTGTTCCTCTTCTATGGAAAGGTCAGTTGTAGAGTAAGGACCTCAATATTGGTTGTTTGTTGTACCTAAACAGAGTATTTTAAAAAAATCACTTCCTTCTTTCATTTACAGTGCTGTGAGTTTCCCACAATCCTTAACCTACATCCTTTTTTTTACAGCTTTGTGTCTCTGAAACAGAGAAGAGCAAAGGCCTTGAGGGAGATGAATTTTGTAGGATATTAGGGTAGGCAACTATTTTTAGAACTACCCAAAATGGTAATGCAAAACTTTCTCTTGATTCAAAGACTATAAATGCAGCAAAATAGATAATCATATCCATCGGTAGGAATATCTTGATGAGAGCATGTCATCATGCAGGTGATTGGGTTACATTTTGTCTGAACTCATAATTACATTGCAATTGAGTTTCACTGTATTTTTATCAGATTGTATTTAAATATTGTGGGTTTAGGATAGAGTTTAAGGAAATTCAACAGAAAGGTTTTGTTGTTTTTTTTTTTTTTTTTTTTTTAACCTATTATCTTTTTTTTTTTTCCCAGGATGGTAAGTTTTTGTGCCCAGTAACCAATTGTCTTCTAGTGTTATAGGGATAATCAATACTATTTATGCCTCAGCCTCATCTAACCTTTGTAACTACTTTTGAGAAAGGATATACATAACCCTGTTCAAAGGTTGCTAATGTTAAAGTCTTAAAAATAAAGGCCGGTTGGGAGAGACTTGGGGACTAAAGGGAAATTTAACCCATTTATTAAGACCCAGAGCCTTAAACTTAACTAGAGGAGAAATTCTGATGAGCTATGTTCAGGAAATCAAGGGTGCAGAGCCTTGTGTTTGCAGGACCAACTGCTGCCTGCATAGGTTGTAAAAAGTGACTTTTGTTGTTATTCTTCTTTCTCATGCCTCCTCTGTATGATACTTTATGCTTCACTCATGTCTGATTTTCTGTAGTGCTGCAGTGGATTGAAAAATTATGAGGTAGATAAGGATTTTTTTTTTTGTGTAGTAGTAGGAGAGGTACAATAGAAATTGTAGAACTGGAGTTTGAACTCCAGTAGAACTGGAGAAAAATGGAATTTTGTACAAGATGTCAGTATTGAGAAGGATCTTACTGTCTCAGTACTGAGATTCTGGTACTTAAGCTTTTGATTCTGTTTCAGCTAGAACATCCTAAGGGATTCCCAACCAATGTCTCTGTAATTTAATTTTTTCATTATTTAAAATAATAGATAAATTAGACATAAGAAGTTAGGGACCACTAAGCAAACCACTAAATCAGCTATGTGTTCAGAAGCTCTGAAGATGTTCCCTAATTTTCCTACATGCCCTCATTTGCTTTAAAAACATCCTTGTTCTCTTGGAATAATGAAATACAAAATGTCCTCATGCCTGGCAGAATGACAGAACTTTCAAGTATTAATGCTTAGTGTAAAATTAATATAGATATGTATCTATACATATAAAATTGTGTATATACGTGCATTTATTTTTTAATTCCTTTCTATACATATTCCAAGTCGGTGTAGTTCTTTTTCTTTCTGAAGATTATCAGATGTGGAAAATGGGTTCAATGCAGATCAGTTAAAATTTGTCCACATCTGCCTTGTCTATATTGGAAATTAATAAAAATTAATTTTCTCCATTGTGTCTCAAAGGTAATATAAGTGAGGAATTTGGTTCTTGGATTGTCTTCATCTGCACAGATATTATAATACAATTACCTTTAGCAGAAACTGAAAAGTTGATTTTAGAAGCATATTCACAGAAAATGTTTTAGGTATTGCAGGCTTGTGTTTGTGTCCATAAGTCTTTTTGGACTTAAGACACTACAGTTCTTTCTCAGAATTGTCCTTTGGAGGAGTTTTTTGTACTGTTAGTTCTGGTGTCTAAATTAACTCATAAAACTTCCCTCCTTACCCTTCTTCCCCGTAAAAGTTATATTTATAGTGTAATTGGGAGAATAGAATTTTTGCTTTTACTCAGGTAGGAATTTACTCTGCAGGTTTCTTTTTGTGTGTAACTACATCCAACAATTCATCTAATACAAAGATGGTTTAGAATAATATGTGTAAAATTTCTTTCTTTGTTTTGTGTATTTCTTTGCATTTTCTAGGTATTCTAGAGACTGTCTCAGATCTGTCAGTTTCAGGCAGTTATTTTCTCCACTGGAAACCAATGTACTTTATTCACTTATTTTGGGCTTTCAAGAATCTTAAATGTTTTCTTCATTTTTCTCTGCAATGTTTCTATGAATACAATTAAACCCATGCAATTCTAGAAATGAAGAATACCAAATCTTTGCAGTTATTTCCTTGCAGATATAAATTTAGTATTAGGTCCTGGAATTAAATGATAGTTTTAGACTTTCTAAATGCAGATTATTTCAGTGACAGCAAAGTTGCGTAAATACTGGGCTTCTTAAGGTGATGTAAGCTGATGAGTGTAGCAGAGTTGAAATGCAGAATCTGAGACTTCTATTTACTGCTTTTAAATCACTGTATGGTTCTACAACTGTGATACGTGTCTTCCATGTTCAGATACGTGGTTGCACTTTATATAACTTAAAAAACATTAAATAGAATTATCTTTCCGTAATAATGTTCCACAGATCTGAAACTCTACAGTTTGGGAACGTTTTAAAATAACCCATATAGTGATTATAATCTATTTTCCCATTACCATCAGATGGAACTTTTAGAAGAGAAAAACATAGTCAAGACTCAGTGTCGACAACTGGAGAAGATAAAAATTGAGTGTGATAAATTGACAGAAGAATTAACCCAAAATGAAGAAGAAAATATAAAACTCAGGCGGAAATGTGAGTTTGTAAAACAAGAACTGGAAAAAAAGGTAAAATTCCATGTTCTTAACAATGACTCATCAGTCTCTCTGCTGATAAATACCTAAAATATGTGATGACTTAGAGACAGATGGTAAACTTAAAATACAAAAAAATACATGTCCATAAAAATACATACACATACTAAAGAATGTACACAGTTTCTATATAAATCAAAGGAGGCAGAAGTGCTGTGGCTGAATCATGAATTGTATCCCTTCAAAGAAAGGAGGTTGTAGCAAGGTGGGTATCAGTCTTTTCTCCCAAGTAGCAAGTGATAGGATGAGAGGAAATCGCCTCAAGTTGCACCAGGGGAGGTTTGGATAGCATATTAGGAACAATTTCTTCATGGCAAGGGTTGTTGAGCATTGGAACAGGCTGTCCAGGGAGGTAGTTGAGTCACCATCCTTGGAGATATTTAAAAGACGTGTAAACATGGCACTGAGGGACATGGTTTAGTAGTGGACTTGGCAGCACTGAGTTTATGGTTGGACTTGATGATCGTAAGGGTCTTTTCCAATCTAAATGATTCTATGATTCCATGTGTATCCCTTTCATAGAATTTGTATGCTAGAAATTGCCTAGCTCCATGGTGGTGTCTCATGAGAGCAGTGTGTGAAGATTTCCAATAGATACAATTTAAACAATTGCACCTTGTCATTGCAGAGATCCGTAATGAATAAATTTTCAAAATTATTATTCTTGCTTTTCTACCATTCTCTAGTGCATTTGCACGTGCTGAAAGGCATCCTCCTGATCTCAGTAGCAGACAGGTGTAAACCAATTTTGCTGCTTCTAACAAGATAATTTTGTTATACATTATATGAAATTAAGCATTGTAATTAATAAAACTGTTGCTGGGTTCAGCTATATTGATCATAGATAAAAGGAAAAGAATCTGAATTTTAAAAACATATGTAACATATTTAATGATCTTTCTGACAATGGATGATAACAGAAAATGCTTTCCTCAGTGCCAGTCACTGGCCTATGAGGTATATGAATACTTTTCCTTTGAGAACACACTGCCAATACAGGTTTCCTTCAGGGATCTCTTTTTGTGATGAGAGATTAGATGCCTGTAAGTGATTGAGGGAAAAGATACTAAGAGTATTTGTTGTGGGCTTGCTCTCAACTCGTCAAAAAAATTTGTAATAGCATGTCTGATTTTGACTCCGAAAACAGGCTCTGTGATTGCTGGGGTTGGATTTGGTAGCAGTTTCTTCATAACTAATTTATGGGAGAATGAGGAGAAGCGAGAGAGAAACTTAAGAGTACAATTAGAAGGTATAATTTTGCAGAGCAAGGAACTGAACTCGGTGCATGAGTGAGTATAGTGTTATTATAAGAATGAAAGATATATTGCTAAAGATGTATGTTATGTTATTAAGGCAATAATTTCACTTTGTTTTTTTTTTTTTTTCCTCTTTCACTCCAGGATAAACAGATCAGCAATGAAGATCATTTGAGAAGGATGGATGAGGCCAGACTGCAGTTTAAGGATCAGCTGCGTCACTTAGAAATGGAACAGGAATCCATTCTCACTGTGATAGGAAGTGAAATTGATGCTGCCTGTGAAATTTTTTCTCGGGACTCCATGGAGAAATTCAAAGTAATTCTAAGCTTTTAAGTATGCTGCACATTGTTATTTTCTTAATGAATGTTTGTAGCAGAAATTGTATGCATTGTTGTCACCTATCACTTAATTGGTATAGATAGTTTATGGACAGTAGGATTATGGAAATTAGCTGGTACAGATGTACATTAGTAGGTATTAGAATGGGATGCTATGAAGATCTGCCCACGTATTAATCACTACTGCTTTTTTTTGGTCAATTTTTTGGAGAGAAATAGTTTTCCTTTTGTTTGCTTGTGTGAAAGGACCTTACGTTAGCCAGAATTTTGAGACAGATTTTCCTATGCCGCCTCCTTAGAGGTAGGAAGTCCCCAGAAGGACCTAAAAGACTTTTAAACCTAGGGGAAAAATGAAATAAAGGCTTTATTAAAAGTTCATTTAGATGCTTTGTTTTTTAAGTAGAGAAGCGAATGCTGAAAGTGAAAAGAGTTTATAACCTCCTCTTTTGTGGAGCAGGTCACTGTATCCAGAAGACTCAGAGTTTCTGGAAACTTGTGGCTTGCTGTAGCTTTTTTTTTTTTCACTCTTTTAGTAGTTCTGCAACCCTTGTCTCCCATTAGCCTTTTTTCCTGAGCATTCTCATTTGCTCCCAGGAACTCTGTCTTCCTCCATCCAGATGATTCTACATGATTAATCCTTTTAAATCAACATTGTACACAGCTGAGAATAAGGAAAGTGGACAGTCCAACTCATCTTGTCTCCATACTCACTGACATTATGGATACTTATATCACAAGTGCTTGACCTCATGGCTTTTTAGCCTTAGCTGTAACCATAGAATACACTTAGATTTACACTTTTTTTCTCTTGCTATTTAAACAGAGCATGCTTTCTACTGTATGATTCCTGGTCACTTTACTGGGCTGGGCTGCTTTTGAAATAGGAATTTTTCAGCACTGATGCTGAAAAGCCATTATACTTTAAATATTTTTTTTCTTTGTTTTCTTTTCTATTTTAAGTTTATCTCCTCACCCGTTTTGTTTGAAAGTGTGGAGAAAAGTCACTGTGTGTGAGCCCTGTAGTATGGTTGTGCCTTTTTCTCCATTTACCTATGGAGTTGGGATGTTGCATCACTCAAACATATGAGAATTCTAAGACAATATATTTGACAAACAAGCCTCCTCCTCCTCTGTATCCTTATAGATAAGTCTTTTTTTAAGTCTGTGATCTGCTGTAGTTGCCAGATTCTTTATCATTGAACCATGCCTTCTTGGACTTACTTTCTACCACCTGAGGAGCTTTTTTGTCTCCTGGATAAAGTCTTGCTGACCCCTGTTTTCACAATTCTTATTTATCCCCTTTAACTGTTTATCACTGGAAAACTTAAAACAGATCTGAATCTGAATTTTAGACTAGACAGCTAATGTGAAAACAAAGTTACACAGTTCTGTGGTGCCTGGTCTGAATTTTTTTTAAAAAAGTAAGAAGTTTCCTTTGTTATATTGTTCCTTTGCCCAGTACTTGAGGTATTTCCAAGGTTTCTAGAAAGTTTCAGACAAGTTCTTTACTTCAAGAAATTGCCACTGCAATGGAGGTGAGCAATGAAGAATTTAATGGACAAATACTTGTATTCAGAGAATTTAAACACCAGGCTTAATCTTCCCTTATGAAAGGGACACTGGACTTTTGAGATTTATTTTTCCAATCAGTCTTTTGTTAATAGAAGGCTTATGCTCGCAGTAACTACCCCAGTCATGCTCAAACTAGAAACTGAATATTGCTACCTTCCAACGTGGTTGCACAGAATGAGGTTTGCTGCCATGGAAGTCACAACTGTCAGGTATGCGTTGCTTAGTCGTCATGGTCAACATGCCTACTAAAGAATTTCTTCTCAGTTCTGTCCTTATGTGGAGATAATTTTCATGTAAAACATATGTTTAGCCACCTTTGGTCTCAATGTAGTTAATAAAGCCCATATAATTACCTCTTAAAGCAATATGTGAGTTACAGAATTTACTGGACCAGCACTAGATGTCCATAGAGACTTGCTGAATTGCAAAATGTGATAAATTAAACCCAAACTAATAAAAGCCCGACAAAACCTTTGAATTAGAGGAAGGCACAATGTACTAATTGTGGGATAGCTGAGGGAGCTGTGTATGAGACTTTTTTCCTTCCCTTGTGTATCAGCTCAAAGTAGGGGAAAAAAAAAAAAAAACCAAAACCAATTTTCATTAACTTAGAAATAATTAATATAGAAAACGTGTATAGAAGTAATAATAAAACAAGCTTAACATAGTTCATTTTGAATGCAGAAAAAAGACTCATCACATTTACTCATTTATGAAGTATTAATGAGGCATTCCAGCACAAGTTTATCTTTTATCCACTTAGTGAAGATTATAGTTTTCTTTTTGTGCTTATCAGATATTCAAAGCAAGTGATTTGTCTTTTGTCTGAAAATACTGAGACCATCACCATGAAGCATAATTTGAAGATTTGTTTTTTTTTTTTTTCCTTTTTTACCTTTTCATAAGACTTTTTTCGTGTTGCGCATAGCATTTCTGTTGGTATGTTGATAGCAGTTCAATGACTAACAACAATTGGTACTGTTACTTTTCCTTTATGTGCAGCCACTGTTGTTCTGCAGAATGGAGGAAAAAAAACCATTTGAATGACTTTGAAATTGGCCTTTTCTTAAGAAATATTAGTTTTAAAGTAGAGTCTGATTGTATTATTTGGAGATATTATATTTTCGAAAAAGGACATACGGTGTCAAACTGAGAATATACCCCTTGATGCAGAGATATGTTCTTGGGATGTTTGAAATGTGTAGTTTTAGTGATTCTTAAGAGAAAACTATACAGATCCAGAATACAACTTACTGTAGTTGCAACTTAAATTACACCTCCAAACAAAATTTGTGTCAGTGAGTTTGCATAGTTTGCTTTTAAATGTGACTAATTTACGGTTAAAGAATTCTCTTAAACTGTTTACAGCATAGATATGATTTCCAAGCTGGATTTTGAGCAAAGAATATTTATTTTATGAATTTTCAGTTAGAGGGAAAGACTCTTTTTCTTTCCTGTGTCTAGTTTCTGTTTTTATACCTATTTCTTTCTCCCCTACTATTCTATAGGCAATATCACTTACACCAATGGTGCTGAATGATCCTCATCGCTGGTTAGCAGAAACAAAGGTAATAGTCAAACCCACTAAAATTTTACTGAATAAGTTAATATCCAACATTTATAATCATTTAGTTGAAAGTGTGTTTGAAAAGGCACTTAAAGCAGAAAAGGAAAAAATACAAAAGCATTCCTTTGACAATATTTCTGATATTCCCAGACTGTTATTTCAACTGATGGAATAATTTTTCAAATTTTACTACCAACAAGAAATAGCTGTCTCTATAGCAAAAGAATTAGCAATGCTGTTTTTACAAAAAATGCATTGAAGTAACTGCATTGATAGCCTTTAGATCTGGTTCAATTATTTTGAGACAAGAGGAGAACTTATCAGGTTAAGTTTCTCTTACAGGGTTATAACAAGGCAATAAATGATTTAAAATAAGGCTGTTATTTATTAACACTAAAGGATATTAGATTAGATTCTTGGAAAATTAACTATTTCCTCCTGCTTTTTCTGAAGCTTTTGAATTCTATAATGTTGGTGCACGCATTCTTGAAAATTTCTTCAAAGTGATGACTGATAACCCTTGCCTTTCATTTTGCAGCTTTCCTCCTGCTCCCCCCAACTTGCACACATAAGCATGTTTCTTATCCAATATCTTTAAAAGGAATAAGTTTTTCATGATCAGAATAGATCATAAGAAACTGTGGAAGCCATGCATTTTTTTTCTTGCTTCATTTAAAAAGGTCAAAGCCTGGGAGCATTGACTTAAGGAAAAATAACAACTGTTTGCATGTAAGAAAATTTAAGGTTATTGATGATGTATGATCTATATAAGATTTGTAGACCAAGAAAGACTGCTACTATAGATACCAGAGATAAGATTCAAATTGAAGGAGAGATGTTATGCAGGCAGTATTGTCTTCATTGTAAAAAGTGACACTGGCGTATTATTAAGACCACCTTTGAAAGAGCACCTAATAATCACTTGCATACATTTGTCACCTAAGTTTCTTTAGCTACTAGAGGGAAGTCTAGAATTAATGACTACCTAAAATCCCCTGCCTTTTTTTTCTTTTGTTTTAAATAAGCAATGTAAAAGTATTCTCTTTTACCATTTCTAGATTTACTATATTGACCGTGACCTATCTTATCTGTGAACTCTCTGTTGTTTTTCCTCTGCATGAACCTTAAATATTATTAACTTTTTGCTGACTGGAAAGGATTTATGCCACTTGTTAAAGAATGCATAAATGCTTTAAAATCTGTCAACATAGAATAGAGAGAGAAAGGTATTGTGAAAGGAAGAAGTATCTTTTGGTGTTTGTGTATACACTAATTCAATGTGAATTTCCATATCCATCCTAGAAAATTCATGTTCCTGAATTTAAAAAAAAATAAAAATCAATCTGTGTATTGCTTCTTCACATAGAGTTATCAGCCATATCTGTCTTTTGAGACTCTTGAAGGTCAACAGATGTCCTCCTAATTGATCTGAATGTCCTCTTCTGTTGTTATTCAGTAATAGGTACAAATGAGTAATCTATGGCTCCAGAGATAATTTGATCAGTTAACATTTATGTTCTCTTATTTTCACTAGAATTCTTTACTTTTTATTGTACCATTTTTCATATAGACTAAGCTTCAGTGGCTGTGTGAGGAGGTAAAGGAGAGAGAAAGTAAGGAAAAAAAGCTGCGATGCTATTTACTTCAGAGCCGAGAACAACTCAAGCACTTTACACAGATGAAGGAGGCTGAACATCAGTCTCTCTTTAAACAGATTAAAAAGCAAGAAAAACTTTTGGAAGAAGTTCACAGAGAAAAAAGAGGTATGTTCCTGGTTCCATTTTTGTTAATAAAAGGGAGAGAGAATTTTAAAATTCTACTAATTATAATTCCTATGGCACATTCAGATGTATTTTATAAGCTAGTTATCACAAGCTCTGATATGGTAATGTGCTAGTGAGAAACAAGAAAAATGTTTTTTTGTTTTCCTTTGATGACAAAACAGGCAAATGTAATCAACTATGTTTCAGCCCAGTAGAATGGCTGAATAAGTTTGCAACGTGGGCAGTGGGTATGGAGGTTATTATTCAGCTGTACCCCACAACATCCTTTTGTAGTACTGGAGATATGGATCTGGTGGATGGAGTATTCGGTGGGTAAGGAACTGGCTGGATGGTTGCATTCAGAGACTAGTGGTCAACTGCTCAATGTCCAGGTGGAGACACGTGATGAGTGGTGTCCCTCGGGTCCATACTGGGACCTGTGCTGTTTAGGATCTTCATCAGTGACTTTGACAGTGGGATTGAGTGCACCCTCAGCAAGTTTGCAGATGACACCAAGCTGAGTGGTGTGGTTTACACACTTGAGGGATGGGATGCCATTCAGAGGGACCTAGAGAGTCTCCAGAAGTGGGCCCATGTGAACCTCATGAGGTTCCACAAGGTCAAGCGCAAGGTCCTGCACCTGGGTCAGTATACCCTCAGTACCAATACAGGCTGGGGATGAAGGGATTGACAGCAACCTTGCAGAGAAGGATATGGGAGTAGTAGTGGATCAGAAACTGAATATGAGCCAGCAACGTGTGCTCACAGCCAGAAAGCTGACCGTACCCTGGGCTGCTGCATCGAGAGAAGTGTGGCCAACAGATCGAGGGATTTAATTCTGCCCCTCTACTCTGCTCTGAGATCCCACCTGGAGTACTGCAGCCAGCTCTGAAGTCCTCTGCACAGGAAAGACATGGACCTGTTGGAGTGAGTCCAGAGGAGGGTCATGACAATGGTCAGAGTGATGGAACACCTCCTGTGAGGACAGGCTGAGAGTGTTATTGTTATTTAGCCTGGAGGAGGTGAAGGCACTGGGGAGACCTTATTGCAGCCTTCAATACTTAAAGGGATCTTATAAGAAAGATGAGGAGGGACTTTTTGGTAGGGCAATGGGATAAGGAATAATGGTTTTAAACTAAAAGAGGGTAGATTCAGACTAGATATAAGGAAGAACTTCTTTAATGCGAGGGTGGTGAAACACTGGAACAGATTACCCAGAGAGGTGGTACTTGCCCCATCCCTGGAGACATTCAAGGTCGGGTTGGATGGGGCTCTGAGCAACCTCATCTAATTGAAGATATCCTTACTCGTTGCAGGGAGTTGGACTAGATGACCGTTAAAGGTCCCTTCCAACCCAAACCATTCTATGATATTCCCATAATAGTAATAATTGGTGATAACTTTCTGTCCCTGGGTATCATTGTCTAAAAGCACAATAGTGGAATAAAAAGCATAGTATAGGTGATGATGAGAATTCTGTAACCAAAGGAACTGGAGCCAGAAGGTTTTATATAAGAGAGGAGGGAGGAAATATCACATGAGATTAATTCTTGGCATTAAGATTTATCATTATCTCAAGACGGTGCATGCACACATGTATACACTTGCTTGTACTCTTCCTCTAAGGTACTGTCCCAGCAGAAGAGCAGGTTTCTGAACACATCTGGAAAATGTGGATAGCTGGAAATCATACAGGCAGAGCTAGAAGGAATGTGATCCAAAGAAAAAGAGTTGACGCCAATGCATGAAAGTGATCACTGAGAAAACAGGCTGATTGACACAGGGTCAGGAATAATAATTTCTATATTGAAATAGATTCTTTCGTTCCACCTCTTTCATATAAAATTTTGTTGGAATATCTAACTAAGCCTGAAATTGTATTTTGACATCTATAAATGGCTGTCACTAACCTACCTGTGGAGGAGAATAAAGTGCTTCTACTGTAAGTTTGCATGTAGGTAAACCTTGAGAACTATTAGCATGCCTTATGGGTTGATACAGTCTATAAATAGGGCTGACTTGTCATCTGATTTACATCTTTTTTATCTAATATGTTAGACTACTATTTGCATACCACACTCTGTCATGGTATGATCTTTCATTTCCTTCTATTACCTCAGTTTCCAAAAGAAGATATCATCTCTCAGGTTTTCTTTTCTTGTGTTTTCTTTAAAAACTTTATTCTGGCCTTCATTCAGGACTCAATACTGATAATGATGGGGTAATTTTTTTGTCAGACAGAATAAATACTTTCTTTAATCATTTTGTTAGTAGTCATTTTGTATTTAGACTGGTGTAGATTCAGATTAGATTAGAGTGAACTTTTAAGTAAGTGTAGTTATAGCTTCAGGGAGCTGAGTTAATTATTGAAAATGTTTTGTGAAATAATGTAATAAAAATAAAACAATAGCAAAACAACAATAGCAATAACAAATAAAAGCGTTCTTGTAAATATTTTATAGGACAATGCAGGTTATTTGCTTTACAAGAATTGTAAGATCCGGTCAAGATTTTTTTCCTCTACTTAAAGAACTTTGAAAGAGAACATGCTTTGATATTTCAAGCTTGAATGTTTCTATTGTTAACCTTCATTTGTTTAAAATGATAGTGCCAAGACCCTGATATAATATTAATAGTGACTTAATGTTCTTATATTTGAATAATTATCTGCTAAGATGATCTCCCCGAGGCCTTATTTGCCTTTTTCAATTTAAGTGCATAGGAAATAAAGCAAACCTTACTTAGCTTTTAATTCTGTTATACTGAATTTGGTTTAGGCTTTGTGGAGGAATTCACAGCCTGCATTTAAATTTTAAGCTATAAGCAAAGTTATCATGGGAGATTATTGAACTGAAAAGAATGGTAAAAAGTATTGTTATTCACAGAGTACAAAAAATAGTATGTAATCTCATACCTTCTATTCATAAAGGCCATTCCTTTGTTCCCTACAGATATGCTCAGTTCCATTTGTTAGTTGACACATTACAATTTCTGCAATTTTAAGTAAATTATGTTCTCTTTTTTCTAATTCTAGAGATGGATGCTTGTTAACAGTAGGTAAGAAAAAGGAAATAACAGTTACATGGTTGTTAAAGTTTTCTATGGTAACACAAAACAGTCAACATGCTTTAAAATTCCACCAAATACAGGATGAGAAATGGGACTTACAAAATGATGACAGATAACAGTGCAGGCCAGTGTTAGGTTTAAGGCCTGGGTTCAGGATACATGTACATGCTGAGGATCCAGTGCCACGGAGGTATGAAGATAGGTAGCTTTGCTATTGGTGGATTTTCCCAAAACGCCCTTCTTGCTGTCTTCACTTAAAAGTATTCATAAAAGATTATTTATTTTTTTTTTTTTAATTTTTATTTCTGATGTAAACAATTAATGGTAAATGGACTTTACTGTTTTATATGGAAATAGGGAGTGAGGAGTGTTCATAGGTAACTATCAAGCACCTTACTGCCTCTTTATACTCCACCTTTTCTTAATGAGATATAATTTGAAACCTGGTCATAAAAGGTGGTGATGGGTTTTGTTTGTTGTGTGTTTTTCTTTTTTCTTCTTGTTTTTTTGGACACTGCCACTAAAACACTGTTTGAGGAGGGGAGCAGGTACTTCCATTTACAAAGACAATTAATTATGTACGTGATTAAGAATAGTCTTTGTGTGTGCAAATTTGATTCACTTCATCACATTCTAATTTGATTAGATCTGATAGTCATCAGGTTTTCTGAATACGGATGAAATTATGATTTGGCCCAGTACCAGTGTATTTATTTAGTTTTAGATGCTGTGGTGTCACAGGCCTTTCAGCAGTACGTCCTCTACTCTTAATAGTAATCAAGACTTTAGAACAAGCATTTACTGAACGAATTAATCAGAGACAGGGAAATAAAATACAACTGAGATTTTACAACAGGTACTCTGAGCCCAACTTCCTGGTACTATATCCGTTTGGTAAAATAGCTGGTAGTTACTAAATAAGTGATAGATGTAACAGAATACATGGTATGGCTGTCATCTGTATAGCATTCAACATGGGACTATGTAGGAAATAACTAATATAAACATGATGATTAAATATAAGAACTATAAATTAGAGTAAGGTATGTGCTACTTACAATGACAAAGGGATAGTTAGTACTGTTTCATAGACATAGATCTGCAGATGCACTTTTCCTCGTAAGTGAGCTTAGTATGAGGAATAGGAATATGATATAAAACTTGGAGCCTTAGAAAATTTGGTGGCTTTGTTGGTACACAGAGGAAGTGGAATAGCCTTGGGATCATTTAATTTCATTTACCTGATCCCAAGGAAGGAAATTTTATGTATTATTTATTTTACCAATTTTTATACAATTTTGCATTTAAATCTGGAATCCGAAATTCATAATAATATTCATAAACAGTGAACAAAATTTTGAGATCTTTTTATTAGTGCACCAAGAAATAGGCAGTTTGACTTGGTATTCAATACCATTTTCTTGTTCCACTGAATTAAATGACAGCACATGTGACAGTGTATCCAAGAATAATGGATTTACATGTGAATTTAATTGGTTTGTTTCATAGTCATGTCAACATAGATTGTTCTTGTAATTTGAAGACTGTGGCTTTCATTACACCAAATCAGTTATTTTTTTATAAGCTGATAGAAGGTAGAGTAATAGTAACATGCATGTCTGTTAATGTGAGTTCTGAGTGCTATTATTCATGAAACAATACATTTAAATGTTTATAAAGGGTTTTATAAAAAGTTACAGGAGAAAATATGGATATTTACATTTCTTGGACAAATAATCTTACATACTGAATGAAAAGCCCAGGTTTAATTATGATGCAACTAGTAGAATGTAAAAATGTAAATAGTTTAATGTATAAATGACTTGGACATGAAAATTGGAGACGCTACTTTCCCAAAGGAACAAAAAAGAACATGACTAATAGCATAAGAAAAGTGTTAAGCCAAAAGAAGAAAGTGATGTATCAAAATG